TCAAGCGTTGCAGTTGGAGAGGTCATGACAAGGCATTGACTGAGCCAAAGCCAACTATCAATTACAGTGAACACCCCCTAAGATATAACCAAACAGAGCAAGTGCAAGGGCAAATTCCAATACTTGTCAAGATGAACGTCAGCAGCAATTTCTTTGACGAGCACTTTGGGCTGATTTACACATATCTGGTGAACGATTATGTGCCAGAATATTTCAAAAGTATGGAGTACAAACCGTGGGTATTCTCCCTGCTCGGCTCCGCAGTGATTGGGCTCAGCGGCATCTTGCCGCTGCTCATAATACCAACAGAGGAGAAAATGGCCAAGGAGGGCTTCAAAGATCGTTAGTCTCAGATTATTTCAATTGCAAACTAGAATATATATATAATATATATATTTTTCTTTTTATAGCCGCTGAGTCCAAGTTTTTGCGTGTGCTGCTCAGTTTTGCGGTGGGCGGACTTTTGGGTGATGTTTTTTTACATTTGCTCCCAGAGGCCTGGGAGGGCGATAATCAGAGTGAGTAATCCATTGTCAAGACATTTAATATATTATCATAAAATTCCCCTCGCCTAATAAAGACGCCAACAGTCATCCATCGCTGCGCTCTGGCCTGTGGGTTCTTTCTGGAATACTCATCTTTACAATTGTAGAGAAAATCTTCTCGGGCTATACCAGCGCCGATGAGGAGAATCCACAGCCCAAGTGCGTGGAGATTGCCAACTGTCTGCTGCGTCGTCACGGGGGCAAGCTACCCGAGGGCCAGACAGCGGAAAACTGCGGCGGTGCCTGCGACATTGAGGATGTGGACAAGATGTGCTTTTTGCGTGAACGCGAACAAAAGTCCAAGGAGCACAAGGAGCAGCCAAAGAAAGTAGCCGGCTATTTGAATCTGCTGGCCAATTCCATAGATAATTTCACACACGGTCTGGCAGTGGCCGGTTCGTTTCTGGTCTCCTTCAGGCACGGCGTCCTGGCTACGTTCGCCATACTCCGTGAGTGTTTTGCGAAAAGCATCTTAAAGCGTCAACCTATCTATTTGCTTCTTTAAAGTGCATGAAATTCCACATGAAGTGGGCGATTTTGCCATACTGCTGCGCTCCGGCTTCAGTCGCTGGGATGCGGCTCGCGCTCAATTGCTGACCGCGGGCGCCGGCCTGCTGGGTGCTCTGGTGGCCATTGGCGGTTCGGGCGTCACTTCAGCCATGGGTAAGCATCACAAGGAACCTTTGAAACTCTGCTTAACTTACGATTATTGCAGAGGCACGCACATCCTGGATCATGCCGTTTACCGCTGGCGGTTTCCTGCACATTTCATTGGTCACAGTACTACCAGATCTCTTGAAGGAGGACGAGCGCAAAGAGTCTGTCAAACAGCTGCTGGCGCTAGTCTTTGGCATTGCTTTAATGGCCCTCATGACGATGCTCTTCGAGCACTGAGCTATATCCAACGCCTCCAAGCAGCAGTAACAGCAGCAGCAAATTAAACGCTGCTTTAAAAATTATTTTGTTATAATTTTGGCCACCACAAATCCCAAATTGTCATTGGCAGTACAAATTTCTAGGAATTTTTGTTGTAATTGTATTTGTACATCAATTGCGCATTACGACAATACGACCCGCCCTGTTTATGTTATGTAATTATAGCCAACTAATGCGAATGATATTTGAACTATTGTTATTAATTACGTATATATATATCTATTTTATATCATACTGTATGAAGTCAGGTTGCATAGAGAAACAAGTGAAAATTTAAATATACATTATGAATATATATCTTAGTTAAGCATAAATCGAAACTGTCTTTTACAACGAATATCAATATATATTTATTTATGAACGGCTCGGGAGTGCCTCTTTCTCTCGTTAACCTGAGGACACGGCATTCCTCGCAACTGCTGAGACGCCTGAAGAGGTTTCTCAAGTCATACAAGTCCAATTAGACACATCTAACGAATGGCAGAGGAGATGGAACATCATGGTGAACAACGAAAAGTCCACAGCCACCACCTTCTCTCTCAGGCCTGGTAACTGCCCGTCTGTCTACCTAGGTGAAGCTGTAATAACAGAAGAGACGACACTATTACTCTCGACAGGAAGTTAACTTGGAGAACTCACTTTTTAAAGAAAATGAAACAGGCGGAAGAAAAGCTAAAGTCCTATTACTGGCTTATTGGTCGCAAATCCAAGTTGACTACTCGGTCAAAGCTCCTTGTCTACAAGGCAATTATCAAATCAATTTGGGATTATGGCATTCAGTTATGGGGTACTGCCAGCCGAAGCAACTTAAGATTGATTCAGATATCTCAAAACAAGGCACTGCGCATTGTTTCCAACGCACATATTCACCATGACACCACTTCCAACCACAGTGTTCTCAAGATCCCATGGGTCAGTGACGAGATCGCTAAAAACCAACCAAGCAGATACGTGCATAGGCTCCGCCTGCACAACAACAACCTAGCAGTTGGCTAGGCAGTTGACTCAAGAAAATGTGTGATCTCTGGGTAGCTTCCCGAAATAAAAATATATTTCCAGTTGATTTTTAACTAAATCTTAAAAAGAATTAAATTATTTCAGTTTCAGCCTTCTGATGGCTGAGATACTAGTATATAAAAACCTAAATGAAGAAGCCTTTCTAAAATGCTACCTTATTTTAGAAGCATTTGATAAATACCAACACACATACTTGATCATGATCTAATATGCAACTCAAAGGATTTTCGAAAAAGTAAACTTCCCAGCGTGTTCGCAATTTAAACAATTTTGTCAAAAAATAAGAGGAAAACGATAGCCGAATCGACTCTACAAGTAAGTTATTTGTTAAAATTGGAAACAATATTTCCCAATTTCAACCTGAATCCTTCCATGTACATACCGGACATACATATTTCATGTCTAAATATAAATCAATCATGTACAGATTTTCACAACATATGTATATAAATACAGCGGTATATGCTTAAAGCAAAGTAGTATGAAAACATTTCAACAGGATCTACTCCAACTTCTTTATGGGATTATACACAAATATAGTTATCGCCTTAAAACCCAGAGAAATATTGGTAAATACAAAAAATATTCAAGTTAATATCTTAGAAACCCACCGAGCACTATTATATATACAATGAATATAGCACGAAGCGCAACTCTAGGCGGTATCATTATCTATTCCACTTTTGTTTGTTTTTTTTTTAATACCAATTAAAAATTATAAACAACTATTTTACATAGTTTTATGCAGAATGCACACACGCATACACAATCGATGGAGTAAAATATGTAATATGTTCTTCTTATAAAAAAACAAGCCGTTTTATTTGTTTTTTGTTTGCAAATCAGTTGTCAGTTTGCATTCTTATCTAGTGCGTTTATTTCTTAGACTTGATCTTCTTAAGGTAGAATTCCAATTCCTTGCCTTCCAGAATGTAGCCATCGGAGCGACCGCACTGGCCGGGGCGGGATGAAATGCAAGCTGTTTAGATAAATAGAATAAGAAATGCATTAAAATACTGTAGATAATATTACAAATCAAATAATAATCTAAGAGATCTCAGAGTAACTATGACAAGCGTGATTCACGCCCAACTGGCTTGCATCTCACTTAAAACAAGATTGATGCAATAAATTAGTTGGATCGCTAGGGTTTTTACATCATTGAAGGGCAGTCAAAGTTAGCTGTCTATCCAGAATACGTACCCAAGATGCGACCAGAGGTGAACTGATCCTCCACAGCCTGCTCCACTTTGCCGTACTTTTGACGCTCGAGGTACTTCTTCATGACCTTGTCACTGCGCTTCTTGGTGAGCACATCGTTCTCATCCTCCTTCTGCACGTGCTTGGGATTACGCTTGCGACCAAGGGGCAGCACATAGTGTGATTCGTACCATTGACGGAATGGCGTCGCATCGATGACCACAATGCTGTTCTTCACCAGCGTCTTGGTACGCACCAGCTCATTGTTGGACGCATTGTAGACAACATCGGCGATACGCGTCTTGCGTGCAACACCCTCAGAAGCCCAGGCGAAATTGCCTGTCTCCAGTCGCAGGGCGCGCAATTTGGTGTTGCCACCACGGGTGCGCACCTTGTGCACGCGAGCACCACCAAGCTGCAAATATTTATAACCAGAGTTGCCAGATATTAGCAAAAGTTGCCAAATAAAAAATCAACTTTGTTATTTAATTTGCAATCAGTAGTCCGAACATAATGCTTTTTGATCATCAAAGATAGTTGCCCTCGAACAAGTCGAGTGCGTTTGCAGTTGACACGCGTTAACATCATTTTATGATAATTTGTTGTGTTAAAACAACAATGGCGGCGGGCGCTCGGACAGGTATAAAACTCACCTTGGTGTTGGCAGCGGGACGACCCAACTCGAACTTGCGCTTCTTGCGGAGCGACTTGCGCTTGCCACCAGTGGCGCGACGCTTGTGTGCACTATCACGGCTAATACCTTAAATTATGCAAAGGAAAATGCACACAATTAAAAAATTCGGAATTCATAGCGAACCCCGTCGAAATATCAAGAAAACCTCAACACGCGGTGCTGCCTGCTGCACAATCTTTAAATGCACAAATGTTAGCTAAATATCATGTTCGTTATATGCTGCACATGTGCACTGTTAGCTGACACGTATTCTGCGCACATTTATGTTGTTTTCATGCATTTCACAGTCGATTTTCTTGATATTTTAACACAATTTGCACTAGCCGACGACTCACCCATGTTCGAGTAAAAAGCGAGAAAGAAAGGAAAAGACACGCACAACCTCGTGTCAAAAAATTTTTAGGTTATCGACTGACAGCGATGGGCAGCACTTTTTGCAGAGTTGCATTTTGGCCTTATAACTGTCCACTTTACGTAATCGATACAACATTAATTTATGCATTCACTAGTTTTTTTTAATACGAACCAGTGACAGCACACTTCAACACTCGTTCGATATTTGAAAATAATCGATAAGTCGCTGAACTTCTGACATCCCTACTGTACATGAACTAGAAAAATTTAACCCAAGCCAACTCGGAGCAACATAATTGTGTTGATTGTGCGCGTATGAGAAATAATCAAAATAACAAACATCAAATGTAATCATGGTTGGCCGAAATGCCAAAGCGCTGTCACATTTTCACCGGCTAACCGAATATATTGTGCAATGTAAGCACTGCGACAAGACCCTCTCATCCAAACACACTTCTTCCAATTTGACGCGCCACTTAATCAGGAACCACAAACAGTTGGCGCGAGCAATATTTGCCGGTGACGAGGGTAAAATGCTAGCGGAGCTAAGGGAGGAATTGAATGCACCAGATCCGGAACCAGATGTACACATGGAGGCCAATCTGGGAGAGCGGGAAACAAAAACGGCGGTGCGCACCATCATTGACAACCAGGTGCGCCAGGAGCAACATCATCATGCCGAACGCAATAAAGTGATTGGCAAAAATAATAAGCTGTGGGCGCACTTTGTGCGCATATCCGAGTTTATGGCCAAATGCAAGCACTGCAGCAAAACATTATCCTCGAAACACTCGTCGTCCAATTTGATGCGGCACATCATCCGGCGTCATCATAATTTATCCAAAAACCTCAGCTACTCGCAACACAGCCTAATATCACCCAAAAAGGAGATAATGCAAGCTGAGGAGCGTAGGCAATTGGATCCATTGGAAAAGGTCGACTTTGACGATGTGGATAGCATCATTGAGAAGGTCACGGATCACATGGAAGATGAGGTAGGCATAGGCAAAACATATGCTCGAATACGCTGCGAATGCAAATGCAAATTTTGATATTAGTTTACTTCGGTTTCACTTCAGGGACCTTTCTACGAATACGTGGTGGACAATTCGGACGTGATGGTATCCCGACATTGTGATGAGGAACCATCGAATATGGCCCATTCGATGGATCACCAAAACGACACAAATTCACTTGGTGAGACAACGACCCAACTGGATGAGAAGCTAAAAGCGGAAACAATATATTACAATGAAATGGCCGAGCTGGCCAGAGCCAAACGGCGATTAATTGATCTGCAGACCAAGAAGCTTTTACTTGACATGAATGTTGTTGAAGGCAACTAAAAAGCATGAACACAGAATTATTTTGTTATTTATGATTAAACAATAATGATAGTAGATGGCGGTCTATGTAACAACTTGAATTACAATTACATTACACTTAACGATTAAAAGAAAGGTGCTTAAATTTGCATAAGTAGGATCGTGTACAAGGCTCTGTTTGAGATATTAGCTATCTGGATACCGTTGCTCCCGGCCGGCCTTGAGCTTCTCAATTTCCAATCGCTCTTTACGCACCTGTTGCGCCACGAGAAACTTTTGCATACGATAGAAACCGGCCTTTTCACTGAAATACATTGCCTGCTGACGCAACAGATCCTCCTTCAGCTCACGCATTAGCGGTGTATCCTCAGCCTGTATGGTTGTAGTCACTAGCTGAGCGTCGGTGCTGTCATTGCTATAATCCGAAACAACGTTTTCGCCGGACTGCGCAAACAATGCATCTGCATGAAAGCTATTTTCAATTAAATGTTCGCCAACCTCGTCAACGGGGTGCACATCTTCCTCGATTTCAATTAGGTCATCATAAAGCGCATCCTCAGCAAGGGCGCTTGTTAGTTCCGCTTGCTCGGTTGCATCTCCCGCACTAACAGCAGCGGCTGCCGCATTGCTGTCTTCAGCAACAACTTCGGTATAGATGGCGGCAAACTCCTCTTCCTCATCATCTTCGTAGTCCTAAGCAAAAAACGAATTGGTAAATTATAAGTATATGATAGAAGCTGAGCAACAAGTTTGACTGGAAACAGACAGGCGAACATAGCTGTTGATAATGCTCAAGTATATTATAACGAGTATAACAAGTGGGTTCTCACGTACTTCAGTCGCCTCTCCACGCATGGCAGCGCTGTGAATCTTAATCATATGCTTGCTTATGATCTCCTCCAGGTTCTCATTGTGCTCAAAGTGCTCGTCACACATCTGGCACTTCCAGATATTGGGATCGCTGGTGGTTTCGCAAAAGGAGAAAAATGAATTATCATCCGATTGATGTCCTTCCACTTTGATCAAGCCAATTGGTTCTTGTCCGTTCCACGCAATGTTGTGCATACGATGCAGATGCCGCTGCAGATTGCTAGTGCCTTGATATGATAAGTTCTTGAGGCAAACTCGACAGCGTACGGTATCATCCGAAATGCGTGTGATGTATCTCCAAACAAGGCTGCCGCTGAGGCTGGTCCTGCGACAGGTGCGCAACATAGGATTCTCATTAGTACTGGATGTGGCTGCCTCCTGTACCTTATCGGGCGCTTCGATCTTCACCGGCGTCGTTTCATCCATTATGTCATGCCGACGTTGCAAGTGCGTTATAACATTAGCCGTGCCATGGAATCGCATACGTCGATTACATAACTTGCAGAGCACCGTGTTTTTGGTCAATTTTTCACAGTAATTCCACACATAGCTCGAACCCCTGCGCTCCTTTTTGACCGACTGTTCCATGGCCCAACGCACATTGCGAGGCATATGCTTTGCCTATAAACCATACAGTTTTTTAGGAAAATAATCTTTTGGTTATTCTTGTGAATGCTTACCACCTCCTCCAGTTTTTCGGCATGCATGCGTCTCAAATGTTTTGTTATGTTAGAGGTGTTGCCGCCACCGAAATACAACACTTTTTTGCATATATGACATAGGGCGCGCTTATCATCCAGCTTGGTGCAAAAGTTCCAAACGAAACTGCGATTGGGTCGACCCTTTTTGACGGCATCCTCTTGATGCTGCTTTCCAATAGAACGTAATTAAATAAATGGACTAGATCATTAAGGGATTTATCACCTCCGTGATGCCGTGCGCTGTTTGTAAATGTCGGCTTAGAATGGGCGTACGGTTGCCAAACGTTTCGCTGCACACCTTACACCTAAATACGTCCGAATGGTCAGGCACTGGACTAAAGAAACCCCAAACGTAGCTCTGACGCTTGTAGCTTGGTAAGAGGGGTATTATGTTTTGGTTCTCCATTGGATCGATTTCGTTGTCACCTATTGAATCGCTTTCATCGGACATATCGCCTCGCTCACAGTATGTACATAAATTGTCTCAAATAATATAAATTACAATTTATACTTTACTATTCCCTCGTTAACAACCAGGCAAAACTAAGAGTTGAATTGGCTTGTTTTTAATAAAAATCGATAACTAATGCGATAACTGATTCACTGCTGAACTTTTTAAGGGAACTAGAACGGGCGCCTAATCAGCGATGGTGGCATCAATTGAACTTGGATCTGGAACTGGATCCACTCATTTCTACCGAGGAAGCACGGATTTAGCTAAAAGTGTGAAACACGTCTCAAATGATTTTTCGTCTAGATCTTTGGAAATAAATTTGGCATCTGCACCGGCTGTCTCACCCTTAATTTTACCACCTCATCCTTTAGGACCTGAAACTGCGGCCCCATTTCTATTTTGTGTCTGCCGAGCCTTTTGCTGATTACGTATTTTTGGTTGTTGCTTCTTAATTAAGCTAATACTCTTTTTGTTTAATGGATGTTGAGACATTTTGATTAAGTGGTCAAATACATCACACGCATGCTGTCTTTACATTTCCGTGGCTCAGTTCGAAGTGTTGAGGCCTACTTTCAAATATTGCCACTCTTTTTTGTTAAACACCGTTACAAGAAAATATTGCGACCATTTCAATGTAAAAAATATTAAATAAATATTACCAGCAAGTTGTAGAAACATGTAATTTTTTCAATAACTGTATCGTTGAATTTAATAACAAAAAAAAAAAAAACAAAATAATTTATAAATCCAGCTCTAAATGCACAGCTGCCGTACAGTTTGTGGTATTTTTTGTGAAAATAGATAAATATATTTGCAAATATTATCAAATATTGCCACCTTATTTTTAAAAAACCATATTAGGGAACTTTTTTTTTTTTTGTGTTGCCATATGAGTAACATGAATTAAAAATGAGATTTTCTCAAAAATTGCATATACTTTGACTGGATACTTCTCATATAACTTGATTTTGTCCAATTTATCCAATTGATGTAATCCCGCTCAAACTGTATCAAATTGTTCAACACTGCATCCAAAGAGTGGTTCAATTCGCGTAAGAACTAGCAGTTCGATAGACCTTATCAATCAACTATATGAGGTTCGTTTAGAATCAAATAATTTTCTCAAAAACAGTACCAACCATCTGCTTATATGCTTATATCTTCTTAAAGCCTGTATCTACAAAATGCTGTATCTTGCATTAAGTGCCATTGTCCCTGAGAAAAGATATTAGAGCTCAAGTAGATGGTCACTAATTTGATGCACATCACTAATTTAACGCACGTACCAAGTATGGCAAACCTATCGATAGATGAACAAAAAGTGTCGATATGGGCTAAGAGGAAAGTTAAATCCGTAGTAAACGTTTTTTAATTTCACCCAAATAGCCGCTTTTTGGTCGCGTAAGCAATATGGAAGTGGATCAGCTGACGTTGGCCGATGTGGTGTTCGTTATAGAAAACACTGCTATCAATGGAGCCTACCTAAACGAGCTGAAAACAAACTACGTTCTTCCCACCCTGGAGCACTTTACACAAGGCTCCATTGATGAACGCGAATTCCTAATTGCCGAACGATATGCAACGCTCTACGGCATTGTCACATACCGCACTGCCTCGAATCTCCTGGAGCCCGTTTGTACCACTTATGGCCCCTTTGTTCAGCCTCAGAAAGTCATTGAGACAATTGAGCGTCTGCCCTTGGTCGGTGGCGGCATGGAGTCGCATGCCCACATGGCCGAGGGCTTTGCTGCTGCTCATGGTTGCTTCGATGAGATCAACGAGCAGCGCCACATACTGGAACAGGCGAATCTGCAGCGCCACTGCATATTGATATGCAACAGTCCACCGTATCAGATGTCCGTAAATGAATTGTGGAAATACAAGGGCAAATCCTGCGAGCAGCTGGCGGCACTATTTAATGAACGCAAAATTAATTTATCCATCATTGCGCCACGCAAAATGCCGGTGCTTTTCAAGCTGTTCATGAAGGCCGACGGCGATCAGCCCATAACGACCAAAAACTATGCCAAGAATATTCGCCATTTGGTGCTGCTTAAGGGTTACAGCCTGAAGGAGCGTGCGCCCAGTCCGAACAGCATGGCCGTGGTGGGCACAACGGCTGCACAGCATCAAATGGGGGCACCCCAGCAACAAGTAGCATCCGTGCAGGCAATGAACAATAATCCAAATGGCCAGCAGTCTTCTCAAGTTCAAAACATGCCCATGGACACGACTCCAGTGCAGCAGCAGCCAGGTGGTGCACCACAGCAGCAGCAGCAGGTCATGAACATGAACTCCATACAACAGCAACAACAGGCACAGCAGTCTGGCGCTGGCACGCAAACAGGCCTCATGAACGCACAGCAACAACAGCAACTGCTGCAACAGCAACAGCAGCAGCAACAACAACAGCAACAACAACAACAACAATTTGTGCCCAATCAAATGCAGAATGCAAACTTTCAGCAAAATGTTGTGCCCGGCCAGAATCGCTGGATGTATCCAAATCAGCCCGGTCAGCGGCCGGCCTTCATGCAAACAGCTGGCAACAATATGCCGCTGCAGCAAAACCAGAATCCCAATTCAGCGCTGATTTCACGGATCAATGCGCCGCCCAATCAAACGGTGAACTCGCTACAGCAACAATTGCAGCAGCAGCAGCAGCAGCAAAGATTGCAAATGTTAAATCAGCAGCATTTCAATCAGCTGCAACAGCAGCTTGCACAGCAACAACAACAACAACAACAGCAGCAACAGCAGCAGCATCCACAGCAACAGGTTAATGCCAATGCCAATGCCAACATGTTGCCTAATGTCTCCAGTGCTGCTAATGTGCCCGCGCTGCAGCAACAGGCTCCCCCGCAGCAGCAACAGCAGGCCCAGCAACAACAGCTACAGCAGCAGCAACAGCAGCAGCAACAACAACAACAACAGCAACAACAACAGCAGCAACAACAACAACAGCAGCAACAGCCACAGGAGCAATCATCGCTGCGGGAAAAGATCTGGACCGGGGTGCTCGAATGGTCGGAGAAGATCAAAAACGATCAGCAAAAAATACCTCATTCACTGCAGTGCACGGTCTGCACCAATATCAAGGATGGCGAGCCCGAAATCAAGGCTGACAATTGGCCGCCGAAGCTATTGATGCAGCTAATGCCTAAACATCTGGTGGGCAACATTGGCGGTCAGTTTCTCAAAGATTCCAAAATGGTCGTGTTTCGCCCAACGCCCGGCGAAGCGCTCGATTCGCTGGCTAAAATGATGACCTCTGGCTTTGCAGGCTGCGTGCACTTCTCGGCGCTGCATAATGCGCCCGCCTGCGATATTAAGGTACTCATCCTGTTATATACGGCTGATCGCAATGCCTTTCTGGGTTTCATACCCAACAATCAGTCCATGTTTGTGGAACGTTTGCGCAAGGTGATACAACAGAAGCAGTCGCACGGCAACATGCAACAGCAGCAGCAGCAAATGCCGCCACAGCAACAAATGCAGCAAATGTTGCAGCAGCAGCAACAGGGCAAGTCGCCCATGGAAATTCAACAACAGCAGCAACAAATGCAGCAGGATAATTCGCAGCAACAGCAGCCGCATTATAATCAATATGCGCAGCTCAACATGCAAATGGGCGGCGCTCCCGGCGGCAATGGATCCGGCGGCATACCGATGCAGCCGCAAATGCAAATGAATATGATGCAGCAGCAGCAGCAACAACAGCAGCAGCGCATGCCACTGGGCGTGCCCGTTGCGAATCCCAATCTGCAACAGCAGCTGCAGCAGCAACAGCAACAGGTGCCGCAGCAGCAACAGCAGCGCATGGTGCGTCCCATGCTGGGTAACAACAATCCCGGCCTGCGGCAGCTGCTGCAGCATCAAACGTCTGGCAATCAGTTTCGTCCGCAAATGGGCGGCCAGCCGAATCAGATGGGCGCCGGCGGTCCCATGGTGGGCAATCGTAATTTTGATGATGGCGGCTATGAGTTTATGTAAAATTTTAATGTGTTCTAGTAGTATACATTTATATATATATATATATAGATTCACGTTCAGTATCAGTATCAATGTACCCCAGACTTGTTTGTAAATTGTCAAGTTTCTCTCTTTTTAGCAACATTTTGTAATCATTTAGGCCCACAATCGATACATTTGTGTATTTAATATGAAGGCTTTTATTTTAGTACATTAAAATACAGCTGTATTGAATGTTTCTAATCAAAATTTTAAGATTCTAAATGGATGACGCGTACTCAGCGGGAAATTTGAATACATGCTTTCCGGTTGATTGCACCGATGGCAGCAGGCCGGCGTTAGGTATAATGTTCCATGACAAGGATAGCGTTATATTTTTGTTATCCTTCAAACCGTTGCCATCATCCCAGAAGTAATATTTGGTGTTCATATTTTTAAAATCCAAAACTGCATTATCGCCACGCAAAATAATTTTGTCCCAGAGCACAACCTGATTCAGCTGATTCGATGGAGTCTTATATTCGGCCGTTAGATAGAGAAACAATTGTTTGACGTTCCAGTTAAAAATGTTCGTTAGATTTGTCTCCAAATCGAATGTCACGAATCCGAGATCGTGCTTCTCTCTTGATGCACCGTAATCGGGGACATTTTTCACTAGCACCCGTACGGTATTTATTTTAGCATCGGTTCTATAATCCAGAAACACTGTAGATATAAAGCAGCAGAAAGTAAGGCATGCCAATACGCTTAATGAATAGGCAACAGTGGCATTTCCTCTGGTTAAAACAGTATGCATTTTTAAAGTTTACAAAATAGACGCAAGTGGACACGTAGTTTGCGTATGGAAAAATATGTATGAGCGTGTTAGAGATGTACAACTATCGCCGGCACTAGCAATTTACAAACGATGTAACGATTATAATAAATTAAAAAATGTTCCTTAATGCATTTCTTAAAATTATGATTTAATTGTTAAGCCATAGCAAAGTCAAACAGCAAATGATAATCTTATGGTTTTAAGCTAATTCACACTGGTTAAGCTGTTCTTCGATAGCTGCGATGCATTTGTGACTTCGTGGTATTTAAAAGGTAATTTAGGACAGTATGCTGTTGACATAAAATACTGCACACATAATGTTAACTTGTGATAAGAAATTTCGTGGCAAATAACTTTAAATAAAATAAAAAGTCTTTTATATGAAATGTTAAGATTCTGTTCATAAATTTCGCTTGCTTGCCTATTAATTATGACTTCAATAATGCTATCCATAAGTCATTACGTTCTTTTGCGAAAATTAATCGTAAATATTGAATTTATAAATATACAATTTGCAATCAAATATAATATATTACTTACAATTGCAACATGGCGAGTTGCCATATCAGAATGCAAGAAATTTGATGTTTACTAATGTGATATAATAATTAATAATTATATATAATTACAAAGTACATTTGTATAGTATTATTATTTTTCCTGAAAATTGCTGCGTAAATTGTTTCCCGAAACCTTACGTATCGTAACAATATTTACGTCGTGAATGATTGGAACCGACTGGTTCATCTATTCCGTTGCGTTCTAGTTCAATTCAATATCCGGGAATAATATGGCGATCCGAAACTCTGAATGACAGACAGTGAATTTTAAAGCTGCTGAAAAATTTATTTATTTGCCAAAAATTTGCAACGGTAATACGCGAAACTATTGTAAAAGTATTGCATAACATGTGCCCCATACGCTGTGCATGTTTTCAAACCTTAACGCAGCGTTAAATTGGTGAAAAATTGCATCGGAATAGAAGCGAAGAAAAATTTTCCCTTAGTTGCTTAATTTGCCTTCGTCGTCGTCCGCCTGCTATTCGACTTTGGCGTGCGTGTGATTGTGGTTTCGCTCGACTTAGTAGCGTCCTCTCGCTTGTGCATACACTATGTTGTGCCACTGACAAGCTGGTTGGCAATTGTTATCTCGCTTTGACGCGACGTTCGCTCGGTTTCGTTCGCTGTAAAATGTGTAAAGTGATTTTTTGCCTGCGCTCGTTTGGGGCGAAGTCGAAAATGCTCGAAAAAGTTTTATAAATAAAGTACTGCAATTAAATATATATATAAATTATAAATCGTCTAAAATGCAGAAAGAATCTAACGTTTATTTTGTGTACTTGACGAGATTATATAAAGCGTAAAAGCACGCTGTGCCAGCTTCAAAATTACCAATTGCGCATCGATTAGCCAGGCGAAAGGACTAAAGTTAAATTATTTATTTATTAAATACATGTTTAGCCTTGTTTTTCTGTGTTTTTTCCCCCTTTTTTTTTAACAAGTTACTACGAAAACGTGAACTAGGCAAACGGAAAATTAAAACGAGTGTATATATGTATGCATGTACATACATATGTACAACGGCGAACGAATGAGTGTGCAATGCTGAAGAAGTGAAAGAATGCGCAGCGTTGCCATACGGTCGCGATCTGCCTGTGCATGTGCATGTGTGTTTTTGTGTGTGCGTGTATCTTTATATATGCACATATATAATCTAGCTCAATTCCTTAACAAAATCGATAAAAACGCAGCACGCTTTGTATAAGAAAACGAAAAAATACACGAAATTGTGTTTGGCGTTTTTGTCAATGGCAAAAAACAAAAAAAAAAAAAAAAAATAAAAAAAAACCCAAAATGTCAAATTCTTTGAAGTAATTTATTATTTAATATTTTGTTAAAAAATTCGTATTTGTACACGGCAAGCACGCGTGAATTGATTTTAAAGGAAGCCCAATCGAGACTAAAATGAATAATGATGCGAAAAATCATGATTGCGATGACTTGAACTTGAATTTAAATAACGTGCGCTCTGCGTATTTAAACAAAAACAAAACAAAGACAACAACAGCTGCAAAACCAACAACAACAACAGCAGCAGCAGCATCAGCAGCAACAACAACTATAACAACACAAATTAAAGCTAACAGCGCATCTGCACAAAGAATTGCAGCATCAAAGAACAACAACGTCAGACAGGTGAATTACACCGGTCCGCGGATTGCAGCCGCCCGACACTCGATAGCGGCTGCGCTCATTGCGAACAACATCAAGAACAGCAATAACAACAGCACTAAGAAGCAGGCTGTCAAGCATGAGCCGACTGTTGTTGCCAAGGATCTGACAACCAATACAGCAGCAACTGCAGTTGAGCTGAGTCAATTGAAGCAGAAAAGCACCAGCAGCAACAGCAGCAGCCACAACACAAGTGTCAGTTTAAAAGTTAACAGCAACAGCAGCAACAACAACAACAACAACAACAGCGCGTTAGCCACTGCCAATACTAACAGTACTACCAGTTACAATAACAACACCAACACCAACAACAACAACAACAACAAAATGTCTAAAACTGCTGCCAGCAAAACAAACGCGCAATGCGATGCGGCTGCGGCCGCATTCGTTACAGCTGGCACCACAACCACGCCCACAGCCACGCCCATGCCCGCCACAACAACAGCAACAGCAACCACAACAATAAGTGAATCGGCAACCATGAACGCACCCATTGCGGCCGCTGCAGCCGCCAAATTTCGAGCGGCTATTGCCTCTGCGCCTGCGCCCGCGCCCGCACCCGCACCCACGCCAACCAGCTCGAAAAAAACGCGAGCTGCTTACGCAGCCCTCAAGCGGCAGGTAGCCATGCAACAGCAGCAGCAACAAAATGCCACGCCTTCTACTGGAGCAACAGGATCAGGTGGATCTGGTGCCGCCCCCGCTAGCAGCACAGACTCTGCGCATTTGAAATTCGCAGCAACAACTCTGCTAATGGGCGCCGCTGCCGCTGCTGCCGATAGCAACGCTGGCGCTGCTGTTGGCCTCGGTCTGCCGCCGCAAACGAGCAGCTCGGCGGCAACAGCTGTCGCTGTGCTCAAGCAAAAGCTGAAGGATGTGGGCGCCATTTCAAATGCCGCTGCTGCCGCTGCAGCAGCCGCTGCGAATCGTTCAGCCGCCGCCTCATCATCCACATCCTCCAACTCCTCGCCACTGTCATCGTCGGTGGGCATTGTGAATGCCATTTCATCGGCATTGCAGAACATCATAACAACGGATACAGATACGGATACTGAGTTCTATCCGCAGCCCGTCACCACAGATCTTTCTGAATCTGAGGAGGAGTCTGTCTCCGAGGTGAGTCAAATATTTCAAACATATTAAATTGTCTACGACTTTTTTTTTTCCGTATTTGAGCTGGACTCTCTAGAACCTATAATTAAAACCTTTGTGCGTATGTGTGTTGTAGCGAGCGCGGTCTGTGCAAATTACAGACTCTCTCTCTCTCTCTCTCTCTCTCTCTCTCTTTGAGTATTTAGGAGCGTTTTACATATAACACGTAGCTATTTCTCATACTGTGAACCAAATTTGAGGGACGTAACAGGTGGTTTTTCCTAGACCCTGAACCTTACAATTTGTCGCTCTTCAATGGTTTTTGCCATATGTCATATATAGTTTGCAAATTGGTAAAATCTTCAAAAGTTCTTCCCGATCCCCTAATTACATTATAAAAACAATCTGATTTCGAATTTCCTTAAGCACACGTCAGAGTTATACCGCTTTAACGATTCAACTTGTGATAAGAGTTTCAAATTGCTTAACGTTTTCTTATACTCTCGTTGGCACAAAACCTCAATTAATTTATACTTTGCCAATTTATTTTACATATTTGATGTATTTTATTGAAAATGGGAATTGGCAATCTTTTATATTTTGGTTCAGTTTTGTCCTTTTGTCATTTATTTGTCGGATTTACCTTTCGTTATTTAATAATTTCGTTATTTTAATAATACGTAGTAAGTTAATTTAAAATAATTTGATGTCAGTAGCGTTTATCTCCATGCTCTACTGTAATTTATTTTCCTGCTCTTCTCCAAACGCTGCTCGATACTGTTATCAGGTAACAGCTGTCTGAACAGTCGCGGCTTGACAGATTTTGTATATTTATAGAATGCAAAAATTTCGTTAGAATTAATAAACTCAAGTTTCCTTATACTGTATCAATCCATTCGATATATACAAGTTGTTCTGAAGTTTTCGTCTGAAATCAATAAATCGACCTGTCTCTCTCCCTCTTTCTCTCTCTCTCTCTCTCATTTGAGCATGCTGAAAAACCCGTTTCAAGTAACATTTCGGTATGACTCGATGTTTGGTTTTTTTTTTCTCTCTGTGGTGCATTGTGAATTACACTCGTTCGCGTAAAATATTCATGCATACGAAAATCAGCTGTGCAGCTGCTGCTGTTTGTTAGTATTTATATATGTATATATATATATACAATTCTTTGTCTGGCCTTTTGTGAATATAGCACATCAACATACATATATATATTGTCTACTTAGTCGGAAAGGTCATTAGCAAATTCTTTCGATTCATTTTGGATGCTTAAGACAATTTTTAACTTCGGACATCCATTCAATTAACAATATTACTGACCCCTCCGCCGAGTGCATATTATCTGTCTCACTTTCTCACGGTTCATTAATGAGTTACGTATTCATGCTCAACGTTGTTGGATTAGTGGCATTTTGAATATTGCGTTGTTTGCAGGTTAAATTTACACTGGCGGTTTGGTAGTCTGGCAACGCCAAGCTCCTTTACTGTTCCCGTTGTTGTTTTTGTCGAATGGAATCGTGTGCGAAGAGCAATTGTGCAAAACTACAAAGCAAAATAAGAGATACAAAAAATAATAATACAAAAACAAAGTAGAAAATGTACGTAGAGTGTAATGACCGATTAATATTATATACTTGATAACATTTTCTTAAAAAGGTTAATTTGAAAATTTTGAGTGTAATGTGCAAAATATATATATATTTTTTCAATAAAAATAAGACAAAATGCACACAGTATACATAAACATGTACATGCTCATGTACATTTACATACTCACAAACACACTTACGCACTTCAACGCCCGAAATGAGAGAAAAAGCAGAGACAAACGCACGAGCAACCGAAAACGCATGTCGTGGCGGCGACGGCGATTGAACTCGTTTGAGTTTTGTTCTTAACATTTTCTACTTTAAATACTTATATACATACATACATTTGTATGTAAACATGCGTATGTCTCGTTCCTTCATTCACTAAAGGTTACGGGCAATTATATGTGCATGCATATATGTGTACGAATATGTATGATTGTGTTCGATGCTAATTAAATCATAATTTCCCTCAATATTTTGGCGTGGGCGCGCTACACATATACATACATGTATATTCAATCTTGTGCAAGTATATGATTTTACATATAAAAATCAATGAACATTGCATACGTATGACTACGTACATATTTCTACACCGCTATCACAGTGCAACTGAATGGAATGACTCATGCTATTCTTAAAATTCCAAAGAAACCGTTTTTCCCTTCTCCCCTTTGACTTGCAAATTTGTAATAAAAAACCAGCAAGCACCGCACGCACGAACCAATATAGGTGCAAAGTATTGCATGTGTATTTGCGCCGAAACGGAATAAAATGGAAATGGTAATGAATGAAAGCAAAAAGCACACGGGCAACAATAATTTGATGGTCTTGCTGTTGTTTCTTCTTTTTTTTTTGTGCTACCAGCTTTGTCGTGATCTGGCAACGCTGTATGCTAAAAGATTTACCGCATATTTAGAGAATTATCTGTGTAAAATATTTGCTAACTGTACTAAACACAACTCAGGCACTTGCGTGTGTGTTACAGTAAATTGAAATGTAAACTAATAGTACGCCGTGTAAATGTAATCATATTTCATGATCTTTGACAATTAAAATAACTCAAAAAATTCTTGTTCTAATTGCATTTGATATCTGACAACTACTCATACCACCCAAGAATGGTTCAATCGTCACTTTTTGATAGTATAATGCGTGCTTCAGTTAAAGATTTGGTACGGCGTGCGTTATCCACCATGGACTTTGTGTTGCAGTCCTTTGTTCAAGTAATATCAACATGTGTTTCCTTGATTTTCAAGCCAAGCAAAGATCGAACCGCGTCAATATCGTATTGAACTGGTTTTAGTTAACATACATGCATATTTCGCTTTAGTTATTTTTATTATTTATGTATGTTTCTTACGTTTCTCTTTATTTGTAGATCCTATTGGCATTCTTGTGTTTAAGGCCAGATCTCCTGGTAAGTTTCGCGTTATAAGTGCCTCTAAAAAACTATAATCGAAAGAGTTTACCTAGTTATCAATTTATTTTGACCGATTGTCTAAATTTTCAATTAGCTCTACTTAACCCAAACTAAACCAACAACAAATCTTAACCAAGTGCTTCATAGGTTAAACGAAAATTGTTTGGAAGTTTGGTCAAAACGATTTACATGTTTTTGTTGTACGCACTTTGATTAAGGCTACCTACAAAACTACTAAACCCAATAGCAAAATGGGTTACTGTTTGCAATAATAAAAACAATAATAATAACTATAAAAAAAAATACTACCACTACTACCACTTGGATTCTGTAACAACACACAAAGCATCATATTGCTGGCCTTAGACAACAAGAATGTGCTCTTTATGTGCTCCACTGATTAGTTCATGCTTTAATACTACAATTTCCAGCAGCCTTCTTCAGCCATCTTTTAACTCGAGCGCAAAATTACATATGTTTAACACAATTCGAACAACCTCCAAGACATATTGCGCGATTCATACAGCTAATACGAATGATATTTTGTATGCTTTCAGGATGATATACCCGAGTCTGATCGCGATAGCTGTCCGCATGAGGAAGGCGAAGTGCGCGAAGATGATGACGAGACGGAAGAGGAATCCGAAGATTCAGATGAATCTGAGGGTGATGACGAGGAAGAAGATGAAGAGATTGGTAAGCTTATGCAAATTCTCACCTCTTACATAACAAATTAAATAACACTGTTCAAAACACCGTCATCGACAGACGTACTGCAAGATAACGATGCTGATGATGAGGACATCGACGATGAGGATGATGACGAAGATGCGCCAGAGGTTAAGAACTTTATGCTTGAGCCCAACAACAAGCGTTCAAGTAATCTCACGGCCCTACTGGAGGCAGCCGCAAACGAGAAGGCACCCGTACTTCGACACGCCACCCACGCGATCGATGAGACGAAGCAGGCGCTAACCAAAATGCGTTGTGCGAACAGTCCGCGCGACAAAAAGTAAGTGGACCGTAGATGATTAGCCATCCGATATGGATGTACGTCTGCATTTTTCATATTTATAACATTAAACTGCAATTTACAGTAGTGGTTTCTCGCGCAGCCTTGCCAACGCCTGCGCGGACAATGATGTCAACACGGTGAAGCGTTTACTTTGCAAAGGCAACTTAAATGAAGCAGCAGCCTCCACGGACGAGGGCGAGTCGTTATTGTCGATGGCTTGTTCCGCGGGCTACTATGAGCTGGCACAGGTATGTATTAGCCAAATGGTGTTTACATATAAAACAATGGGGGAGTGCATGCAAGACAAGAGATTGATTATAAAAGACCTTAGACCTTAGTTGATAACATAAAAATAGCTATAACGTAAAAATAACAGGATTGTATGCTTTTCAGAAAACTGTTTAAACATTTAAAATGTTAAAAGAATTTTGCTATCGATTATTAACCATTTCAATTGATTGGCATATTGATTCGGCTCTACATAGTTCTGTGTGGCAATATCAATTCTATTGTGTGAGTGGCAACTTCATGTTGCACAGATTTGCCATTCTAAATTATCAATATATCGATATTTCGATAAATTGCTAGAAGTAGCAGGAGCAAAGTTGCATGAGTTTTAACAGATTCACTCTGATAAATTAGCAGAAAAGTAGCGAAGTCAGTTAGCAGTTGCCGAATTGTTCCATTACTAAGTATTGTTAATTGATCGAAACAATTGATAATTGTTCTTTGAAATAGGTTTTGCTGGCTATGTCAGCAGCTCAAGTCGAGGACAAAGGCCAAAAAGACTCGACACCACTAATGGAAGCTGCCTCAGCGGGACACTTGGACATTGTTAAACTGCTGCTTAGCCACAACGCCGATGTAAATGCGCATTGTACAACTGGAAACACACCTCTAATGTTTGCCTGCGCTGGGGGTCAGGTGGACGTTGTGAAAGTGCTGCTAAAGCATGGCGCTAACGTTGAGGAGCAGAACGAGAACGGACATACACCGCTAATGGAGGCTGCCTCTGCTGGCCACGTGGAAGTAGCCAAGGTAAATATTTTTGTAAAATGTGTTTTTTATTTTTTGCATCCGTATAATAAATGTTTGAAGCTAGCAACTGATTAGAATCCGAGATTTGATTAATTTGCGGCCAATTTCGATAATCGAGTTACTGATTTCGAAACTTGGAAACGTATATTCCATGATTAAGTTTGATCTTATCTGATGCATACGAGATGTTTTCTTCTATTGTTTTTATAAATATTGAGCTTCGTTTTGAAACGTCAAATTAATGCTGAATGAACCATTGCAGGTGCTGCTCGAACATGGCGCCGGTATCAACACCCACTCGAATGAGTTTAAGGAGAGCGCACTTACATTAGCCTGCTATAAGGGTCATTTGGATATGGTGCGTTTTCTTCTACAAGCGGGCGCTGATCAGGAGCATAAAACTGATGAAATGCACACGGCACTAATGGAGGCTTCAATGGACGGACACGTGGAGGTGGCGCGCTTATTATTGGACTCTGGAGCGCAGGTTAATATGCCAACTGATTCATTTGAGTCACCGCTCACACTTGCTGCCTGTGGTGGTCACGTGGAGCTCGCAACGCTGTTAATCGAGCGCGGCGCCAACATTGAGGAGGTCAACGATGAAGGGTACACGCCCCTCATGGAAGCAGCGCGTGAAGGGCACGAGGAAATGGTGGCACTGCTGCTCAGCAAGGGAGCTAACATAAATGCCACCACTGAGGAAACCCAGGAAACTGCCCTCACACTTGCCTGTTGTGGTGGCTTTAGCGAAGTGGCCGCTTTTCTCATTAACGGAGGTGCCAATTTAGAGCTAGGCGCTTCTACGCCACTCATGGAAGCTTCACAGGAAGGTCACACCGATCTGGTGCGCTTCCTGTTGCAGAACAAGGCTAATGTGCACGCCGAGACGCAAACTGGAGACACAGCACTAACGCATGCCTGCGAGAATGGGCATACAGATGCTGCCGGTGTGCTTCTGTCGTATGGCGCCGAACTGGAGCACGAGTCCGAAGGTGGGCGTACACCACTGATGAAAGCCTGTCGCGCCGGTCACCTGTGCACTGTCAAGTTCCTCATACAAAAGGGCGCCAATGTGAATAAGCAGACAACCAGCAATGATCACACTCCTCTCTCACTGGCTTGCGCCGGTGGACATCAGTCTGTGGTTGAGCTGTTGCTCAAGAACAATGCCGATCCCTTTCATAAGCTCAAGGACAACAGCACAATGCTGATCGAGGCCTCCAAGGGTGGCCACACACGTGTTGTGGAGCTGCTCTTTCGCTATCCGCACATCTCACCTACAGATCTAGCTCCGGGCACAAGTTCCCAGACAGTTAATCAAATACGTCAGCAAAAGATATTGCAACAGCAGATACAACATCAGCTGCAGATGCAACAGTTGACTGCCCCTCCCGGCCTGCACGAGGTGTCTGAGGCAGCACGCGCCAACAATCAGCAACTGTTATATCAGCAGCAATTCAGCGGCAATTCCCCCAACAACATTGTGGCCCTAGGCACTGGTGATTTTCTAGATGCTGGTGAGCTTCAGCTAACGGCGGCTACTGCTTCTAGCGTCACGGATGCGGCAGCCACAGAGGAGTATGTCTCTGCTGTGGGTGGTGCCGGTGGCGGTGGTATTGACCTGACCACGCTGAGCGCACAACAGCAAGAGGGCCTTATTGCCAAATCGCGGCTATTTCATCTGCAGCCCGGATTTGAGCAACAGCAACAAACGACACTGCCACCAACTGGTGCTCAGCTGGTACCCTGCAAGCATTTTGATCTGGACATGGAGCACATTAACTCGCTTACGCCTCCACAAAAGGCACCGCCAGCGCCACCTGTTCTCTTGCACACTGTTTGCCAGCAACCTGTTCTACAGCAACAACAACAGCATCAGCTGCAGCAACAGCAGCCAAAGCTCAAGGGTGTTGGTTCTCGCAAGAATCGCCAGCTTTTAAACGAGCTGAAGACTATTGGCTTACCGCTGGAGGCAATTGATTTGCCGCTGGAACAGCATTCTGATCAAGTGCGCTCACAGCCCCTAGGCGAGGATGACAAACAGCAGCAACTACAGCAGCAGCAGCAGCAGCATCAACAGTTTGCCTGTGCTGGAGACGAATCGCGTTTGCAGAGGCGTCGCGGCTTTGATGCACCCTGCGAGGCTACCGATGGCAGCGACGCAATTTCGGAAACCAATCCAAAAGGTATTTTGAAGATGAAAGACCTTGTAAACACTATCCTCAACGTAATCTTTTGCTTTCAGTTGCCGCTGCCAATGATAGCAATCAAAGTACATACACTGCTAACGAGAACAGTTCACAAACTCCGGCGGTAATTGCCAAATATATTCATAGTTTTCCATGATTGATTAAATTATGCGTGGTTTGCTTGCAGCTCAATACTAGTGGCTCTGGCGCAATAACCCACTCATCGGAAGTGCTGCAGAGCACTGCAATTTGCGATCGGCCCAAGGTGAAGGCCAGTAACAAGAATAATCGTAAACAGGCGGCTGCATTAGCAGCCCAGACATCGGCTGCCTCAACACCAGGGGGACAGCAGGGCCAGGTGTTGCCTCTGCAGCAGAATCAAATGGTCTCCATTTACAACAACTTGGTAAGCATTACCTTATATAATTTTAAACTAAATCTGTTCAGAAATAATTACTTTCTGTAACTAGAATCGTCTATAAATTAGAATCGTTTTAATTTGCGAGAGAACACTGCATGATAGATATGACTGTTTCGAGGTAGAGGCTTACAATGCTTTAAAATTATCGAAAATAAAGGGACATAATTAATTTGTTAATAAACGAAAAGACTTGCTGCAAAATGGATTTTAATTGCTTCTATTCTTTCATTAACATTTTCTCATCAAAAAGTACATCAGAGTTTTTAAAGAAAAAATGAAACATTAAAAAATTAAAGCAATGGAATTCAATCAATCGGAAAACGGACATTTTATTACTTCATATTTGCCATATGTTTATCAAACATTATTTGGAAGAGATCTTAAGTAAAATCATGTCCCATGTCCTGTGACACGTAAATAACCCTTTGCCTATATGAATATATTATAATTTAAAGTAGCATTTATCAAAGCTATACAAATATTATGTCAGGGAATCCATCGGTTTTAAAGATGCCGTACAAACTAGCTTTTTGTTTGCTAAAATACTTTAGCCACTCCCTTGATAGAAGCTAAACTTAAAATAAAATTACTTAAGTTATATCAAGAAATCAAATCAAAAGCAAAACAATATTTATATGTTTTCTTTCATCACTTTAAAGACGTATGACTATCATGTGATTTAGTTTATTTTTCGCTTTCAAACAAATTACATGTTGCTCAGGAACTAATAACATAACTAATGAACAATTAATACGATTAAAAGCAATTGCAGCAGCAACAGGAGCTTCAGTTACAGCAGCAAATGCAGCAAACGCAGCTACAATTGCAGCAGCATCTGCAATTGCATCATCAGCAGTGCGCCGCCTCTGTTGTGGATTACTCCAATTCGCCGGCCTCGCCAATGGCTTCCCCAACAGGCTGCACTGGTAACAGCTTTGGTGATCAGCAGCAACAGAAACAGCCGCCATTGGAAGGAACTGGCAGTGAAGTGCTGCAGCACAAGGCTGCCATGGAGGAGTTTCGTGGCCTGCTCGAGACAGCGGTCGTCTATGAGTCAAGGCGTGGCAATTCGCTGGCTCGATTCAATGATAAGCTGGCCAATGCTCCGCAATTGAAGTTCTTTAAGGATGGTTGGCAGATGCACAATTTTTTTGGAGAGCAACCCAAATCCCCAACTGAGACGCCGCCTGAAATGGAAGAGACGATCATGTCGCCAAGTATGGAACGTGTCGAAACCCGGGCCGAAATGAAGAATCTGGCCACGCTCTGCTCTGCAGCCGCCATGGCGGCTCAGGTGACAGCGGCAAATAAGGAAATCGACGAAATTGCTACCGATATCGAGAGTGATGAGGGTGAGGCCGATGGTGAAGAAAATACGCTGCCACCGGAACCTATTGAGCTGACTGATACTATCATAGAGGAGGAGGTAGTGGACGATGACGACGATGAAGATGATCCGGATACCCAAAGCGGTGAAATTGATAAACTCACCTATGATGACGATGATGCGGATGGGGATGTTGACTACATTGACGAAGACGATGGCGGTGAGGACGACGATGAGGACGACGAGTTCTTCCTGGACGTCGATGTGGCCGTTGGCGATCAGAGCGACGCCAACTCAAAAAGTGGTGCCGCTCTGCCTCCAAAGCAACGCAAAATATCAACAAGACTGGAGAATCTAATACTAACCAAACCCGATGTGTTGTCTCAATCAATATGCGATTTCCGTCAGGATATGCCCAATTCTGAACTGATGCATATGCTGCCCATTAAGGCGGCGGCCGCCAATAATGCAGCTTTGAATAGTCTACTTCAACAGCAACTGGCAGCGGCCACTGCAGCAGCTGTGCACGCCAAGGCTCACAGCCAGCAGCACCAGGATTCAGAGCAGTGTGGTAAGTTACCGCATACAATCACAGATTTGTTTTGATTCATAGTATATTTGCTTACAGATGATGCAGCAGCTGCAGCTGGGGAGCTGTATGCCGGCCTAGAACACTTTGCAAGTGATGGGGCCGATGGAGGACAGTATGACATAACTGGTGAAATGGAGGACATATTCCAGGTACTTGCACAAACCATGAAAGTTTGGTCACATGGCTGGTTATGGAAAGTGTGGAAACTACATTTTACTTTTTCCATCCACATAGGAGCTGGCCAGCAATCTGCACTATCCAGAACTCGCCGAGTTCAGCCTTAATCAGATGTGCAAGGGAAGATTCACTGGTCATTGGTCACAATCGTCCGGCAAATGGAGCGGTCAGGAGCAGCTATTGGCAGCAGCAGCTGCACAGCACTCGCAGGCGTTATTGAGTGCCGGTGATGCTTCAACGGACGCACAGCAGCGTCAAGCGAATCTCGTGCTTCTGGATTATCCCATGCAGTCGCAACAGTCGCTGCAGCAACGCTTGCTTGATCCCGAGGAGCTGCAGAACATGCAGGTATGGGTGCATCTTTAATAGTTGTATGATCGAGTTAATATTTTGTATCTGTCACTCTGTGTAGCACCAGCAGACGCCTGTTGCATTATTGCCGTTCTCTGCGGACAATGCCGCCGCTGGTGTTGCCACACAGCAACAACAGCAGCAGCAAATTCATTCAGCACTGCCCAACACCGCCGAGTTCCAGTTGCAGCATCAGCAGCAGCAAATGACGTTGGAAGGTGATTCCGAGTTGAAGCAACAGTTGCAACAACTGCATCATTTGCAGCAGCAACAACACTCGAATGCGCGCATCATTAAAGCCGTCGCAGCGGCAACCGGCCAACAACAACAACAACAGCAGCAGCAGCAGCAGCAACAACAGCAGCCGGCTGCCAATTTTGTATACAACGTGGAGAGCGGCGACAAGAATGCGCCGCCAGTGCAGTTCTTGTTCCAGCTGCCACCGACCATGGCGCAACAACCGCAGCAGCAACAGCAACAGCAACAACAACAGCAGCAGCAGGCTTTGGGCGATCAGACATCAGATCAACAGAGCCATCAACAACAATTACTGCACTGTGAACAACAGCAGCAGCATATGTTTCAGCAACGCGCTGAGCGACTGCTTCAGCAGCAACAGCAGCGACCATCCACACAAAGCGAATTGGAGCAGGTGGCGCAAGAGTTGCTGCTGCAGCAGCGGCAATCACCCGCCGTCGGTCCTGTTGGTGTTCAGGCGATGCCCATTCCCCAAAGTCTAAAGCAGAAGCACTTTAATTTGCAGGAGCAGCTTTTGCTGCACCCCCCGCCACATATGCAGGCGCCTACATGCGTACAGCACCAGGTGAGTGCCGTCGACTAGAGCAAGCCCACTCAGTTTGATGTTATATATATATATATATATTTCCAGGTGTCCACACAGACGCATACTGGCTCCGTTGTAGTGCCTCAGCAGTTTACACAGTTTGCGCTGCAGCAGCAGCAGCAGCAACAACAGCAGCAGCAGCACCAGCAGCAGCAGACAACCCAACAACAACAGCAGCAAAATGAACTATCCATTTGGCCAATGTCCACGCCCAACACAGCAGCAGGGACAGCGGGAACTGGCGCCGCCAAGTCAATGCCAGGCGGCATTGCCAAGAAGGCAATTGACAAGCAATCTCGCAAGGATCGACGCTGTTCCGGTTTCCGCCAAACACCAGCTGGAAGTCAAGGTATATATCGCATATCATTTCCCTAGAAACACAACCTTGTTAATTAAAAATATTATCTTGGCTAACAGTCAATACCAATCAGCATCAGCAGCCGGTGGCAACAGCAACGGCGGTGGCGGCGGCAGCCGCAGCGGCGGCTGCTGCACAACAACAGGCACAATTACAAAATCAGCTGGCGGTTGCAGCCGTGGACAAAACAATAGAGATTGATTCGGAAACAGAGTCAAATCATGATACGGCACTGACGCTCGCCTGCGCTGGTGGCCACGAAGAGCTGGTGGAGCTGCTCATCAGTCGGGGTGCAAATATCGAGCATCGTGACAAAAAGGGATTCACGCCTCTGATACTGGCAGCCACAGCGGGACATGAAAAGGTTGTAGAGATTCTGCTCAAGCATAATGCTGAGCTAGAGGCGCAATCGGAACGCACCAAGGACACTCCATTATCGCTGGCGTGCTCTGGTGGTCGCTATGAAGTGGTCGAGCTTCTGCTCGGTGTCGGTGCCAATAAGGAGCATCGCAATGTGTCCGACTACACACCACTCAGTTTGGCCGCCAGTGGTGGCTATGTGAACATCATCAAACTGCTGCTCAACCATGGCGCGGAGATCAACTCTCGTACTGGCAGCAAACTGGGAATTTCGCCATTAATGTTGGCTGCCATGAATGGACATACGGCTGCGGTTAAACTGCTGCTGGATCAGGGATCTGATATAAACGCACAGATTGAGACAAATCGTAATACGGCACTGACGCTCGCCTGCTTTCAGGGTCGTCATGAGGTAGTAAGTTTACTGCTCGATCGACGGGCCAATGTCGAGCATCGCGCCAAAACCGGCCTGACACCGCTGATGGAGGCCGCATCTGGCGGCTATATTGAAGTGGGTCGTGTACTGCTGGACAAGGGTGCCGATGTAAACGCAGCGCCTGTGCCTACGTCGAGGGATACAGCCCTCACTATTGCCGCCGACAAGGGGCACCAAAAGTTCGTAGAACTGCTTTTGTCGCGCGGCGCAAGCGTTGAGGTGAAGAACAAAAAGGGTAATTCACCTCTTTGGCTGGCTGCACACGGTGGTCATTTGAGCGTCGTGGAACTGCTGTACAATCACAATGCAGACATTGATTCACAGGATAATCGACGCGTCTCCTGCCTGATGGCCGCTTATCGCAAGGGCCACACCAAAATTGTGAAATGGATGGTACAGTATGTGTCCCAGTTTCCCTCGGACCAGGAAATGATTCGGTTCATTGGAACTATTAGCGATAAAGAGCTGACTGACAAGTGCTACGACTGTATGAAAATCTTGCGGTCCGCCAAGGAAGCACAGGCGGTCAAGGCCAACAAGAATGCCTCCATATTGCTAGAAGAGCTCGATTTGGAGCGAACACGCGAGGAAAGTCGCAAAGCGGCCGCAGCTCGTCGTCGCGAGCGCAAAAAGAAGAAAAAAATGGAAAAGAAAGAGGAGAAGCGACGCCAGCAACAGGTTAGCAATGGACCCAACGGCGGCGATGATGACCAGCAAGGCGACGACGACGATGCTAGCGACAATGACAAGGACGATGACACTGACAAGGAGGACGACGATGAGGAAACGCCGCCTGCACGCGAAGAAGGCGATTCGGGCATTGATCAAGGCTCCTGCTCCAGCGGCGATACAAAAGCGACGCGCCTTATTACCAACCCGCCGGACAATGTCAATGCTAATGGCAGCGGCAATCCCTCGGCCAAAAAGACTAAGAAGCAACAACAGTTACAGCAGCAGAAGACTAAAACGCAGCAACAGATTCTACCCGGCAGCGAAGCAGTCTCCACATTACCAGCTGTTGCTCCAGTTGCTCCCACGCCCAATGGAAAGAGTGCCGTTGCGGTTAAAAAACTGCCAGCAACTGAGAGCGTTAAACTGCCGTCCAGCAGCAGTCAACAATCGGTTGGCCAGCAACTGAAGCGTCAGGCTGATGCTAAAAAGGAGGAAACACTAGCGGCAACAACACCTGCAACAACTACACCCACTGCCAACAGCAGCAAGAAAACAGCTAAGGAAACAACCAGCAACAAGCGCGAAAAGGAAAATCTGGCACCCAAGGAGTCCATGCCAGTGCCAAAGCCACAAACTCCTGGTTCGACCAGCAAATTGCAGCCGGTTAGCAACGATTCCGCCAGCAACATTGCATCGCGCAAGGATGTCGTAAAATCGGGCAGCTCAACGGCTGGCACTGCGCAGGCCAAGCGTAGCGAAGTGGACGGCTGGAAGGAAGTGGTGCGCAAGAGTAGCGCCCAGCAGACGACAATTGTAGGCTCGTCGGCTGGTGGCATTCCCTCAATTGGCGCTGGCGGCGCGGGCAGCACAAACGTAACGCCCAACAACTCGACGACCAGTGTGAATAGCGGCGGGGCTGGGCAGCATCATCATTCGGTGAGCAGTTCCAGTTCAAGCTCACTGGCCACCTCCGCACCAGAAATGACATGCAAGAAGGTGCAGGTGCCGGTAAATGCCATATCACGTGTAATCGGACGCGCCGGCAGCAACATCAATGCTATTCGTGCCACCACTGGCGCCCACATTGAGGTAGAAAAACAGGGCAAGAATCAATCGGAGCGCAGCATTACCATTAAGGGTCTAACCGATGCCACAAAGCAGGCTCACATGCTCATTCTTTCGCTTATCAAAGATCCCGATGTGGACATATTGCAAATGTTGCCACGCATCAACAGTAGCATTAAGGCGGGCGCCACAAGTGCAGCCTCCGGTGGAGCCGGTAGCAGCTCTGCGCAAATGACTGTCGGCACCTGGGATAATCGCACGGCTGCTTTGGGTGTATCGGGCACAACGGCTGTGGGTAATTACTCCTCGGCTGCATCTACCACATCCACATCGTCGAGCTCCTCGGCCAGCTCAACGCCGGCTGTGGCATATAGTAACGCGCAAGTCCACAATGCCAAACAACAGGCACCCGCTAGCGGCGCCAAAGCACAAAGCGGACGGGGTGGTGCCTCCAAGTCGAATGCTGCCGGCGGAAAAGCATCAAGTTCGTCGCGTGGTCAGAGCAGTCGAGCATACAGTAGCTCGCAGCAGCAGTCGGCACGTGGCGGCACTTCCTTATCCTCTTCCGCCAACGGTGTGGTCTCCACTCAAGCATCGAAAACTAAACAGGAAAACTCAAGCACGGTCAAGTCGTCAGCCACGTTTACCAATCAAAAGGGCTCTGCAGCAGTACAAGGCAAATCGTCGCAGAGCTTTGGGATGAAGGCAGCGCCAACTGCGACACAATCGCCCAAAAAGCTGGATACCATTGGCGGCGTTAGTGCCATCGGTGGACGGAGCAGCGGCGGTGTAGTTGTTGCGCCCTTTGGGCGTGGCAAGCCTGTGGGTGGCGCAATTGCATCCGTTTCGCAGCTGGGCAACAGTAACAGCAACACATTGGCTGGACCAATTGGCACCTTCAACGTGGCTGATGTAGCCGCAGTGAATGCAGCAGCAGCGGCGGCCGCTGCAGCCAGCGCAAACAACAACAGCAGCAACAACAATAACAATACCAACAGTAACAATAACAGTAACAATATCGGCAACAACAACAACAACAACAACAGTAGTGGTAGCAGCAATAATGCCAAGCCACGCGCAGTTACGCCCATTGCGCCGCCTAGCAAACGCATTACCTCGCCCGTACCACAAACTCAACAGCAGCAGCAGCAGCAGCAGCAACAGCAACAGCAACAACAACAACAACAACAACAACAACAACAACAACAACAACAACAACATCAACAACAACTTCCGCAGCAGCAACAAAAGCCACCACAAATGCAATCCCAAACAAATAACAATCAACCTCAAAATTTGGTTATCAATACAAACATATTGAACGATCTTATGGCGGCTGATAGCTTTAGTGCTCAACTGGCCGCCAAGCTGTCCAGCGCATACTCCCTGTTCAGCGACTATCAACAGTCGCAGTGGGGCAAACTGGCCGTCGATGGGAATGCAGCTGCTGGCAACACAGGCACTGGCAATGCTGGCGGCTGTGGTCTTAATACCATGGTCGGCGATGTGCTGCCACAGGCTGATGCCTCCAAGGCACCGGGTTATAATCGCAACATACTCAGTTCGCCGGTGGGCAGCTCAAAGGCCTCCTCGAATCATTCGACATCGCCGCCAGTGGGCAACGCAGCGATACCCATGCAACAGCAGTCACAACAGCAGCCTCAGAACAGCCAGCAGAGCGTGCAACAAGCACTCAATATAATTACCAGTGGTGCTGGCAGCGCGACAGCTGCAAGATCACCGCTGGTAGGCGAGGCGGGAGCAGGCGGCAATGGTGTCGCAGCATCTGGAGTGGTGTCTGTCAATGGCACGCAGGGTCATGGCGATGGGAACAGTGCGGCATCTGCCCACTCGCCCGGCGTCATTAAGCCGCCGACAGCACCAATACAGAGGCCTACGCTTCCTATGCAAATGACCGCACCGGAGTCGACAACTGGTAGCAATCTTGGATCGGCGGCTGCTGCTGCTGCTGCAGCAGCAGCAATAACGGCCAATACTGCTATGATTGATCGCCAGGTGCAGGATTTGCAGCGTCTGCAGCGTCTTTATGATAAAGTTGGCACTCCCCAGCAGCTGCTTAACTATCCCATGGAGTCCTCGACGCCCTATATGGTAGATGGAATGATGCGAGCGAATCCTCGACCCTCAGTTTTTGCGCTTGGCAACAATAAGGCGCAACAGCAGCCACCAACTGGCAGCAGTCAGACACAGGCCGCACAACAGTCTAATATGTTTGGCAATCAGGGTCGACAAGCGCCTGGTGCACGTCCACAGCCCGTGGGCGGAGCAGCTGCTGTGGCACAGCAGCGCTGGTATGGCGGCGCTTTAGAGTATCCTGCTTATAGCGGACGCGACATGCTACATCTAGAAAATGGCGGTGCCTTGGCGGGATTGAGCTCACCATCTGCCATGTCACCCAATCATGATGACATACGCAAGATGCCGCGGCCCATTGGCACTGAGCGTGCAGCTGCATCATGGAAGTACAACAACTACAATGTGGCCGCAACAACACTCGGCATGGATGATTCGCTTGTAAACGTTCACGTGCCGTGGGCTCATGAGCCCAAGGCGCAGCCTCCAGGCCTACAACAACAACAGCAACAACAGCAGCAGCAACAGCAACAACAGCAGCCACCCAATTGGCTAAAACAGCACTACAGGCCCTACAACAATGGGCCCTATCCGCAACAGCACGAGCCAATGAATGTGAGTTGCTGTATATCTAAATTTCTAATTCACAGTTAAATAATATTTGCATTTATACAGATGCCCATGGATTTTCACAATATGCAGCAGCAGCAGCCGCCCCCGCCACCACCACAGCAGCAGCAGCACCAGCAGCATGTTAATCTGATGCCTCCCTCGTATGGTTTTCAACACTTTGTGGGCGCGCACGGGGCAGCCGATGTGTCGTCGCATTTGCCCGATAAGGTGGAGGTCTGGGAACACCATGACAAGCACGTGAGTGTACAGCATCCAAAAATCGAGTAGAAACATTCACTAATATGCCCCAATTTTTGTACATGTAGCAGCCATGGGCTAATTATACCTCAAACTGGTCAAATTGATGCGCGAGCGAACAGCAAGCTGCAGCTAATGAATGGACATCAGGCTGGCATGCTGCAACAGATTAGATCAGATGATGTTGCATCTGTATCTGATCCAATCTTATCGGATTAGACTACATATAACAAGGACAAGCAAAAGTCGTTGCCAATATAGATGAAAGGAGTGCACAGCAATACAATAACCGGGCAAAGTCGTCATAGAAATGAAATGCCAATTGATTCGATTGTTTTTCAACATTTTCTATGCGGCTGCACGCACACCAAACACAATTTCAGACACAAATACACACCCACACGTACAGTTACACAACAACAAGCACACACACCCTCCCCCACCCACATCACATGCACACAAATCAATCGACCGACTCTCGAATGCAGTGAAACAAAGAACCTTGGCCTTGTTCATTATTAGTTCACAATTTAAGTTTTCTTTACCTTGGGCAACTATTTAAATTCACAGGTAATTTGAAATTTGGCAAAAATCTTCCGATTAGAACATCAACAAGCTCCCCACCCCTCCTTCCCACACACACATACACACACATACACGCACACACACGCACACACACGCACACATACACACACACACACACACACACACACACTGAGAACTGCACAACACACTCGTATACTTGAATAAATACATACACACACACTCGAAGACAGAAATCATGGAAAAATTATATATTATTTATTTTAAATGTAATTTGAATAATTTGATATTCCTTGAAGTAAACAAATGTATAAGCTATTATTTCGTGTGATCAAACGATGAATCGAAAGGAGAGAATCTAATGAAGGAAAAGCACACACACATTTAATTTTAAGCTAGAACTCAGTCCTTTGAATGAAAATTATAAATAATATGAAATTAGCGAAAGCTAAAATCATTACCAAACTTTAAACACAAACATTAAAACAGATAACACACGTATGTATATATATATACATATGTATATATATATATATATATATGTATATGTATATATATATATGCATATTTAAAATTAATTAATAAAAATGCCACAACATGAATATTGAAACTGTAAAACTAGGCGCGCACTTTTTCTTCTCGAAATGTTAAAATGTCGACAGGTGGGCCTTGATTAAATCCTAGCTAGAATAAAAACGGAAGCTGAATAAAAGAAAGGAAATATAGGAAGCAATAATAAATGCTTGCAGCAACAATAACAGCAGTAACAAAAAACGCATGAAATTTACTTAAATATTCTACTAAGCTACAACAAAAGCTTAACATTAAATTCACTAACTGTTAAAACTATGCGAAAATCTACGAAAAGAAAATGAAGCGAATACATAATACATGCGAATACGCACACTCAAATCTAATACATAAAAAAAATTAAATTTTTAGAGACTTGTTTTGTGTTAAATTTGGCGTGGTCATTTTTGACTGTACTTTAGTTCTCCTCAACTTGCACAGGGAACGGATACTAGGAATGTAGCTAGTAGAAATTTGAATTGCTTAAAATTAACTTAAAGTAAAGCGAGCATAAAGGTCGAGTAACAGTTTAATATTCCACTTAAATACAAAAATGCATAAACGAAATAAATGATAAACGGCTTGCCAACTTTTTAATGCTTATCCGACACTACGCGTAGCAGGTCCTAGAGATAGAGCACAACAATAAATAGCATAGAACGTGTTTCCACAAATACAAAACTATACAAAAACAACAACAACAAGAACAACAAGAAAATATGTAAAAACACTCGATAAATAAATCTTGATAATAAACAGCGCGCTAACTGGCCAATCGGTGCCGTGTGGCAGTAATTGCTTTGTAAAATGAAAAGAGTATAACGAAATATACTTATATATATATATATATATATATATATATAAACATATATATTCATAGACAAACGACGTATGCACGCGTATGCGTGTGCACATTTGCGCTAAATGGCCAACACTTGCATAAAGAAAAAATAAAATAAAATATGATATGAGATCAACTTTAACAGCGTTAAAACAACTAATTTAAGAGAATAAAAACGAGAATAAACAATATAATTTTTTTTGCCTGTTTGGTTTGTTTGTTTCAAACATTGTTTTAGCTGCAAGCAAATTATGTAATGAGAGCAAAATGCAAAGATTCGTTGAGATAATTAAAAAAAAAACTTGTCACATAAATACATGCAAACACACACACATACATACACACACCAGACGGATCATAAAAAAAATCAGAAAGTAACAAGTAAATAGCTGCTTGTGCAGAAACAGCCGTTATTTAGATTCTTTATCTAAACAAAGCATAATAATATAGAATTTTTTTCATGCGAAAAAAATGAAATTCATAGATTTATTAATTTAAAAATTATACAAAAAGTACTTCAAATATGAATTATGAAGTATATATGCAGAAAACAAAAATAAACTAAAAATAAAATAAAAAAAAAACTACATACATATATGATATACATACATACTATACGGATTATTATTACTCTTATAATTATTATTGTATTGAAGGAAAAATATAAGAACATTAAACAGCATAAATAAAAAGAAATAAAAAAAAAACGTTTAAGGTGTTTTGTGACCATTTATTAAGACTCTTGGTGAAATGTTGAACAATTATATTGTTAAGCTGTGCTTATACAAAGGGCTCAATAGTAAACTCTACCGCTGAACAAGGCGTGGTTAGTTCGAAAGCCTGCAGCACGCTGGGATGCAGCACTCCGATTTTGCCAATGACGGCATTGTTGAACATGACATGAGCACAACGACCGGGAAAGTATGTGGGATCTGATCGAGAAGAAAAAACTATGAGGAAATGCACAAACTATCTTGAGTTAATCCGAAGCTTACCTTCAGCTGCTTGGAGATAGTAGCCCTGATCGGCGTTGCCCGTCTTCCAGGGCACAGAAAGCAACTGCATGACACGATCTAGCAGACCATGCACCACCTCAAATCCCGCACTCTTATTGCAATTGACCGCGCACAGGCGTCGCTCGTTACGTGCGCCCACCTCGGAGTTTGCGGCGGCAAGGACTACATCGCTAATCTCGAACAGTTTCAATGGAAGCGGCATCTTACGATTTGCCACCAGGGTTTTCAGTAGACCCGGTAGCAGTGTGGTGCGCACCACTTGGAATTCCAACGTCTTGGGATTGCCAATATGCACTGCAGGCATGGCTTCAATGTCCTTGTTAAGCTTGAGCCCAATGTCATCGCGCGAGCAAAGCGTAAAAGTGAGCGCTTCTGTGAAGCCGGCCTGGGCCACCTGCTCCCGGAGCTGCTCAGTCAGCTTGTTAAGTGGAAACTGTTTCGCAATTTGCATAAAAGCTGGCAATGATTTTTTGATGTTGTTGTAGCCAAAAGCAATCGCAATGTCTTCGTAGATGTCGCATGCATGTATGACATCATGACGTGTTGGTGGAATCTTTACTTTTAGCGTGTCGCCATCTTTAGCATCCACTTCAGCCTCCAGATACATACGGGTCAGCATGTCCGCCAGCTTGTTGGCGGGCTCATTAATGCCAATGTACGCATTGGCTCGTTTTACCGAAACGCGCTCTTCACGTACTGCCAGCTCGGGATAGGAAATGCTGGTGCCATCGGTTTGCACTACATCACATGGCTCAACCGTAAACTTTTGTGCACAGTGCTCGGAGAACAGGCACACAATTGTATCCAGTACCACCTTCGCCTTGGTTAAATCTGTGGCAGTGCATTCGATAAACACATTTTTGGTTTTTAGCGATATCTTTGAGTGGTCTCCGTTAATAATTGGAGGCAGCGACAGCACAACACGATTCGCGTCATAGATAACCGGATAAACGGGCGAATCGCGTATAATGGGCAAATATTGCTTAAGCTGCGCGTGCGTGGCATAGAAGTCCATTAGTTCAATGCCGTTTAGCTCCCGAGTTTGGTTGAGTGGCACAAATTTAATTTGCTTCGGCGCCAGAGCCTCATAGCTAAATGGACCTTGTATGGTGTCCAGATCGTGCGTGCCAATAGCGACCAGCGTGCGCTTCCGGCAAATGTTTTGATGTAGCTTGTCCTGCAGATCGATGAAGCTGTTGTATGAGTCCTTCGTAAAGGTGACATTGCGCAGCACGGCAGCTACAGCGAATGGACGGATTTGAGCCGTCGAGGACGCTATTTTCAGCACTTGACGCTGCGCCGGCTCCACAAAGTCAAACTTGGGTGGTTTCACTCTGCAATTATGTTTTATAAATAAGGGTGATTTTCAGTAGATCCTATTTCTACTCACTTGCCCTGGAACACTCGCAGACCCGTGACTAAGCCCTCCAGACAAAGCAAATCATAGCGATTGGCCGGTATATCAATCCTGTAGATGATTTCTTCGCTGGCATCCGCTGCTGCCGCAACATCCCCTTGCTCTTTAGTGAGCATTTGCTTCTCTGTCGTCTAAAATAATTGAAAGAAGCAATTAATATAGGCTTTTTCCCACCTATTACACGACAACTGCTTACCACTTCATCCAGCTCTAGGCCGAACGCAAAGCACAGATCTTGAAATTCGTCATCGGCTGAGGAAAGGGGTAAACATTTAGTTTGAAAATCCACGTGGACGGATGCCGGTTAACTCACTGTACTTCTTTCCTAGTGCCTCAAAGAGTAGATCACGTTTAACTCCAATTGTTGGCATTGCGTTGGTATAAATAGATAACGGAGAGTTTCTTAGATACAAATGCTTAAGTTTTTATTAAGATATAATAAAAAACGTTTTGTTGTTACTTGATTAGAGTGTGTACACACTAAATATGTTATTATTACAAATGTTATTTAACATAACAGTGATAATTAGAAGCAAACTTGTAAAATGCGAGCTGCAAAAGCTCGTTACACGTTGTGAAAAATTAAAATCAACATGGGTAAACCTAAACTTTGCTATAGAGTAAGAGAAATCTAGAATTAACCGGCTATGCAGGCTTTTATTAAAATTTAACATAGACAGTGACCCGCTGTAGAAAAGAAGAACGTGATATTTGGCGATACTAACAACTATCGATTACGATTTATTGTTGCACTGTTTTTTCGATAAAATTAGTATTTTCGCTGTTAAGTAAATACTATTTTTAAATTTTGAAAATGTTGCGACATTTCATGCACGCAAGCAAAACTTAAAATAACACCAAGCTATGGCACGCATTCTTCAATAAATTTGTATGCAGCGTAACGCCATATGCTACCAAATTAAGCAACTGCAAGTAAAAGTTTCTATTCAGTGCACACACGCTGCCAAAAAATGCCACACACTGTGTGTTGTTGTGCTGCTTGTACGGATTCCAAATCATCAGAAAAAAGCGTGTGCTTGTGACAGCTGTTGTTGTCGCCTGGCGGTGCGTTTTCGAAATGTGTACATAAGAAATCGGAAGTAAAAAGCGTTTACCTTTTCGCAGTCCGTTTTTTCAAAGAGAGAAACATGCCATAATAACCAACCCGACGGAGGTGTTTAGATCGCACACAGTCCACAAACTACAGCTTGGCATTGCTCAAACCGAGCCAGCTTAAGCAATTAAGCAGGCAACGCGACGTCGAGCGACCTCTTCGGCAGACGCGCGTCAGACGGGACCCGCAAAAAAGACAAAAAAAATGATGGAACGCGTGTGGCCAAAAAGTTAATGAAGCGTTAAAAAATCAACTTGTGATCATAAAAAAACTGCGAGCCTCTTTAAACAGTTATAAGCTGCGCCTTAGCCAAGACTGAGCAGCATATAACGCGTTTTTTTAAACTCTGTGGATGGAACATGGTTCGCTGATCTATTTCGTTCATAAATATGTATTTAATTGGGAATCTCTATTGTATTCGATTTTTTTTTGTTGCGCTTGGCCCTTAGGAATAATTAATTTAAAAACGCCTTCAACTGCTTGCTGTTGCATTTTTCATAAGCATGTCCTTGCGCAGGGCCTTTGTATTTGTTTGTTCAACCCTTGAAGAGATTGATTATTGTTTATATTTGTGCCTCTGTATGCATACGAATGCAGTGCAAACATACGCATCGCATTGTGGCATGCGGCCAGTCCGACGCCGATGCCGACGCCGATGCCAAGGCAACGCCAACGCATCCATTTGAATTGGGGCAATTAAAGTGTGGTACAACTCACGGCTGAATAATTCTATAAACACGTGATAGAAGAAAGACCTGCTGGACCTGCGCCGCTCGGCCATCGATTTATCCCAACAACAATAGCAATTAACATTAACCCCTTCAGGAGCGGGGGCGTTAATTCAGACACGAGTTCTTGGTCAATTTATCAAATAATGCGACCAATACCTGGAAACCGAAAATAGAGTTATTATCAAGCCTTTGGGATTCAAGCCACATTAACCGGAATATTTTTCATCTTTAGTATTGTCCTGGCGCTGCTTTTGCCTCGGCGTCGGTTTATTCGTTTGTAATTATGCTACATATTTATTTAATATTTATTATAATTTTTATTCATCAACCTTTTGGGCAGGCCTTTGGCAGGTATAGTCTAATTTCGACTAATTAATTAAAAATGATGAACCAGGTTTGTATATTGCATTGACTGCTAAGATATAGACATTTCTTAGATATATACTCGAGATTAGGGATGAATTAAAGCTGCTGAGTGCGACAATAAAAGACCTGGTCTTCCCTTGATGATTTCTCTTTAAATCGTATTCTGCAACTTCATGTTTTTTTATTGGTGCCAATTGTTAGATATAAAAGTGTAAATTCAACGCAACATATTTGAAATACGTTAGGTGTCTGGGCGGTGTCTAACAAGATCGTGTTGTATAATTAACTTTTAGCATTACATTACATTTCGAGTTGAGAAGGGATCCTTTCTTCTCACGCATGTGCCTCAAGAAGATTTCACTAATTGCAAGCTAGTTAGATTTTCACACGTTTGCTCCAGTTACAAGTACGTGGCACACCTCTTCCGCTCTGCCGGAATGCATGCCAAAAAAAGGCAAACATCAGATCTATTCATCATGTGGGTAATTAGATGGGAACATGTAGTAGTTGGCTGGCCTCTGGCCAATTCTTGTAGTTATTACCTGTCCTGCAAACTGACCTGCTGCTGTGTGATCAGATTCATTTGAACTTAACTATATACACAGGTATTATACGATATCGCGGTGGATAATATCAAATTTCATAAAATGCAATTGTCACCTTCGGACCTCCATGATTTTATGTAAAACTGTCAACGGGCCAGGCCCAAGATTGCTTCTGTCCGCATGCAATTAGAATTTGAGAAAAAGATGCCTTTATAATATTGACTTGATCCAACGCACACTTGTAGGCATGCTTATCTGGCTTATCTGATCCGCAATTTTTCAATTTCATGAGCTGATGTTGAGAAATGACCCAGCATCGATATCAGTTACGATTTACATTTTATTTTTACACCGTTGGCCAAAGGTAAAAGGTAAACATATCAATTACCAACAATCGAGCGCCGTTGACAGACATGCCGAACTACTGCATCCATCTAGTACTACGCCTGGTTAGCAGCCAGTTGGCCGCTTCCGAGAAAGTCATTTCTCATACTGGGCATTGGGATTTGTTTGTGTTTCATTTCAATTTCAATTTCTTTTGTCTTGACCAGGACCCAGACCCACACTCTAAGCCCAAATGCCGATCTAGTCTCAAGTGTCGCTTGGCAAAGTGTTGCTACTTTTGACTTCTGGCTAAGGGTTTTTATCCTGAAGTAACAGGCGCAGACAGTAGACCCTTCAGGTGCCAACAACTAACAGCACCTATGGGAAATTGTATGAATTATAATAAACTGACGCCAACAGGGATACACGGGACACACGAAATCCTTGAAACCGTTTGAAAGTTTCGCTTTTTTTTTGTATTTTTGTCTGCCGTCCCGACGCGTTGCACCAGCCGTTGCCTCAAAGAATACCCTAGGCATAAAAGGGCAAGCAAGGTATGCACGGTACATATTTTGAATTTGAGTCAAATGCAATCGCATATCGCAATAGAACTTTGTACTGCAAATCAACCAGTCGAAGATAGGTAATTTTAGTGTAATTTATGTAGCAGACACCTTAAATTAAAGGTACAAAGTGGATATGTTTGGATATTATTCTATAAGACGACTAAGAAGTGCCAAGATTATATTAACTCCAGTTGGAACTCCGGTCGGAACAGCATTCGACTACTTTGACATCAAAATGTGCTAGCAAGAGAGCAAACATCCTTCTGACCTTTCAAACAGATATATGTGAATTCGATTAGTATATAAATATAATATATCTGCATCTAATTATACTTTAATAGAACTTCAAATTAGAATTGTAATTTTTTTAGTGTTTTGACTAGCTTAACTTTAGTTCATGCTTGAAACTTTCACATTGAAAATGAATAAGATGTACAGGGCATCTGTTAGTCGCGCACAAGCTAGCTAGAGCATTTCTGCTTGTTGTTAACTGCGATTGTTACCCTAATTTTTAGTCGTCTTTAAAAATGAAACGGTCTGATCGCCCGGTCGACCGCTGGGCTGGGCCCATCATCGGCAGCTCCAACCACGCGTTGGATCGCCCCTAATGGCACAATCAGAATAGCTAGCCGCGGCGCACGCGTGTCATTCATGGGCAGCAATCAAAGTGATATGAAAATTGCGTTTGGGTTCAACAGGTTCGTTGTGCTGTACATTATTGTTGTTTGCCTAAAGGTTAAACGTGCGAATTTCACCAATGCCAGAAAGAAACAGAGGCCACGTCTTCGGCTCGAGGTCCAGGCCCAGGGCCTTTTTGATCAGCGGTCGATCAATGAGAATGCGAATGCGAATGCGAACGTAAATGCGCCATGGTTTCGTTTTCGGTGGTAATCGTAATCGTCTGACTTCTTGAGCTCCTGCTCCAGCTCCTGCTCCTACTCCTGCCATCACCGGGCGCGTACCGTACGCGAATTTAGTGCTTATATGTATATATGTATGCAGCTTCAGCTACAGCTAAAGCTAATTAAATGTAATTTGGTACTTCCTTTTCAGCCGAAATAATACATATAAATAGTATCTTTAGTTTACATTTTATTCTGGCTCTTCACGGCTGGACTTGGACTGATTATTATAAATTTTCGTTTTCTTTCAGCGTTGGCTTAAGGTCACTTCAGTTCCATATATGTATGTGTATATGTAGCGGGGTGTACTGTATGTAAGTTTATATGTAGGTTTATGCTGTATTCAAAGGAATTCACTCTCGTACTCGCACTCCAAGTGCAACAATATAACAATTGCTTTAGAGAGAAAAGAACTATACCATGGAAGTGGAAGAACACCGAAACCGAAACTTGCTAATTGTTTTGCGCTCGAGTGGCGGCCACTGTAGGAGCGTGCACTTCAGTTTCCAGCGAAGAAACACTTTCCATTCAAGCCCAATAAACGGCCCATTGTGAAAAACGCCGGCCCATTCATGAAAGCCCCGAAGAGGGGCACCGCGTTTTGTATCTGAAACTGCAATTGTTGCACCGCAAATTAGACGCTCAATTACTCCACAAAATTCCTGGGTAATTTCAGTGCATTTCAAGTGAGTAGACCTCCAGACCGGGTCTGAGTCCGCGTAGGGAATGGAGGCACTCACACCCTATGCTGTCTACACGAAAGTGAATCTTGACCACGTGGTGTTTCTTTGATTGTAACCCGTAACCCTTCGCTTAGACGATCATTTTTCATAATTTATCCTCTAGCCACATCCTTCCGTAAAATGTTCTCACACTTGACCCGCTGCGTTTCGGCTACGCCCCGCCAAGGATCGGAAGTTGTTCCTGTGCCACAGCAGCAACATTCTAGACGCACTCAAATCTTGTTGCTCAACAGGCGAGGAGAAAATCTTATTAAAAATTGTTATTTCTTTCGTGGCCCTTTTTATTTTTTGTTATTTTATTTTTTTTTTGGTGTGCGTTTTTATTGCTTTAATCATTTTTATTTTGTGCGGCTTCCGTGCCACCTGTTATGTTTAACGTTTGCAGCGAAGGTGTAGCTGCCAGCCAGCAGCAGCAGCAGCAGCAGCCAGAGGTCCTCGTATCCTTGAGGCCTTTTTGATTTTTCTCAAGTGATTGCGTAGTTTTCATCTTTTGTTTGCGCTCTTTGTTGTAGTTCTCACTGTTTTTCAAAATTTGAACTGATCATTGCGTTTTGATCTGGGTAAGGGTAACGTGGGATCGCTTCAAAGGCCATGTCCTGCGCCTGAGCCTATCAAAATAGCAAACCCAATTTGTCGATTATAATTCCCACTTCCGATTTCGAATCCGTTTCGGAATTCAATTTGACTGCAGCATGAAATTAATTTCTATTCGCCAAGACAAATCGCTTACGTATAAGATGAATGCCAACGAATTAGTCAAAGCTGTTGCAGGATTAGGATCAGCCTGGCGCCAAGCAGTTGCCAAAGAACACCAAAGATAGCCATCAAATGGACTGGCTCTTGTTGGCAAAACAAACCCAGCTTCAAAGTCGAGCCGTGCGACAAAAATTGCTACGCTTCGCTCCGATCCCATCAGATGCAGATAAATATATAGATATATATTGGAAGATACATGCCGACAGCGCTGATAACCATCAGTAAGCAATCTATAACAACAGGCTGGCTGCCTGCAGGCGTGCCCAAACAATGACACAGTGGGCGCTGCATTGACCTGGCCGGGACTACATCGAGCAGCCTGCGGCCCGAGCCGCAACAGAGCGTGTGTATAATCTAGTTTTAATTTTCATGGGAATTAACCCATGTCCTTACAACATTTTTGTGTAAACAGTGTGCAATTTATGTGTGTAAAAAAATGTTGCTTCTGCCCTGGCGAGTTGCCTGCCACTGTTTGAGCTATTTGCTTTGATTTTCACTTGACTTTTTTGCGCTGACTGGAGTGTACATATCATATTTTTATTCTTTTTATTTTTTCTCTGCACCCCGCCAATATTTGCACAGCAAGTCAAACAGTTGGCGCATCCTGGCGCACATTGTAACCATGTTACAATATTGTCTCGGCAGCTGATTTCTCCTGGACCAGCATTTGCATATTTAATTTGCCTTTAATGAATTTTCAATTTGACAATTGGCAAAATGCCGCACACGAACACGCCGAGGCCACCCACATGAGACATGAAAGGGCTCGCATGCAATCCAGTTCCATCCCATTGGGCATCGCATGTCGCCGTCCCGCTTCCGAGTGACTTTCGCTCTTCGCTTTCCTTTCGATCGAATCGAATCGTATCGAATCGGTACCAAGTCTGGTTGGTGTTAAATGCTAATAAAATAAGTAACATACAAATTTTTCAATTTACGTTTAAAAAAATAACTGGGCTACGGTTGCCGAAAATGATCACAGTTCGGACAACACTTTCACGGCCTAGAGGGACTTACTAATGGGAGTCGTTGACGTGCGCCTACTTTTATTCTTGATTGGCGTCCCTACAGCTCCTACACGTTCCGAAACACATACCGAACTCTATGAATTTGGGCATATTTCATTTATGCAAAGCTTTAGCCACACTGTGCATTTTATATTGATCTCAATTTAATCATATCTGAATGTTAGTGAATGAATTGTTCCGAGTTCACCTTCATATCAGATTTTATTCATTTATCAGAAATTTGTATAAGTTTACGTCCCGAATTGGATCAAAAGAACAGATCGCAAGCAGTACAGATGCTTTTAAGTATTGAATCCTTTAATAGGACTTAAATTTAAATTTAGTGCATTATATCTTCTAAGAAAAACGAGTTGAATATAGGTCAGTCTATCTAAAAACAAAAACATAAATATGTTAAAAAATAAAGAGTTTTGATTATGAAATCGTGATTGGTAAGTTGGTGAGGTCTGGGATCTGAATAGTTATTTTTTGTTAAATTTTAAGATTTTAAAACTTAAATCTTTTAATAGCGTATACAGTTCAGTTTTATTTTATCAATTAGAAATTATGATGCAAGTCGTTCTAAACTCAGCTTTAGACTGCTAGAAATGGATTTGAAATTTGGAGTAAGAAAAAGAAAGTCTTTGGAATTTATATGATCATGTACGCGATTATAACAGATTTCTCAATTCGAAATATCAACAAAACATATAACTGGGTTAGCGGTCCTCGGTAGATGAGTCGTTTTGCTGACTCTTATAATTGCGAGGCTACGTCCATTTAATTTTATAATAATAATTATAAATCATATAAGTATAATAATAAGAATATCGTCCAATAATAGACATCAAGATTTATAGGTTAGAGCATTTAGGTTTCGATCAATTGCTTCAATTTGCTGTTAACAGTTTTTGGCATGCGCTTTCTGGAAGCTGATCCACATCACAACGCATCGCACCGGCAATTGCATTCACATGGCAAAGCCAGGACCAGAGCTTCAGACATAAGTTGCACTTATGCGTATTGACATGAAAAGTATGACCTGTTACCCATCAATGGATCTGGGCTGTGGATGTGTGTATTGAGGTATATGCCGCATTGTTCATATTTAACCGGCTATAAGTGGCTGCAGTTTTGGGAACACTCTTTAAGTGACAGGCACGCAAGGCGCCGTTGAGAATGGGAAGGAGGAACATGAACCAGGCTCTGGGAATAGCTGAACCCTTTTCCCTGCAGGCCGCAGCACGTGCGCCCTTTTACCTGTTGTTTTTGTTTTTATTATTGTTGTTGTTATTCTTATTGTAGTTGTGAGTTTTTTGTCAATGCGCATAAAATTCAAATCGATATGCAAACGTTTAGTTGGCGGATGCCTCAACATCAGCCAGTATCGATAAACATAAACTTAACAACAGAACAGCAGCCGAGGAATATGGCGATACGATCGCCGTTGTTTTCTGTCTCAGCTGCAGGTGTAACCGAAGGCGTCACATGCACAACTGTCACTTGTGCGCACTCGCAACCAACCAGTCGCTGCAATGTACTCGTAAATTGCACTTGCAACAGGACACGAGGGCAAAGGACGCACACAGGTCCGCACAGGCTGAAGGACATGCAGCCAGGCAGACGGGGGTTGCTTGCTGCATTTTTTGGGCCAATAAATTTGTTGTGCTGCGCTTGGTGCGGTTTGTTGTGTGACATTTTTATCTAATTGACAACGTTTTATTGCCGCCTCGTAGATCTGCACAACAGATACGCCAGCGGCAAGGGAGAATGCAACTTGGGGCGTGCTACCGCTGTTCGTTGAGCGCCCACACATCAAAGGCAGCGGCAGCATAAAGAGATTTTAATATCAAATGTAGTCGCACAATATGATTTCCAGCGAACCATTACGTATGGGGCTGGGCGTTGCTCAGGATTCGGATTCGACCACCATGCGAGCCAATGCCGCCATCAAAATGCGCTGTCTCATGCTCGGGGTACAACTAAATTGTCTATGCCATGTGAGGCTATATTAATTGTTAGCGCTAAAATCTTAGCCTAACTATGCGAGTTAGTTAGCGCCGGGCACGCTTATTAGGCATGCCCATAGACAAGCAACCCCGACTACCAAGCGTGTCCTTGACGCTCGGCTAACAAGGTAGCGCCGAGCGCATCGGCATCGGGCCAAACCCTCACGAGCATATCAATTGGAAAATTTTGCCAGGTTGTAATAAACAAGATTTTCTATTGCGATATCGCATTGGGCATTGGTGGTGGTCAGCGGCATGCCGAATTGCCTGTCCGGCGGCAAATTTGTAAAGGTGTGTCCGGCAGGTAGTTGGAGTTTGGCCTGGCTAGGCATGAGTTGCTTAGCGGCTCAGTCTTTGGTCTTTCACTCGAGTCCTTGCGACGATTTAGATAAGATATTGCTCTTCAGATTTTGCTGGCCATTTGGTGCTGACAAATCATTGTGGCAATCTGTGTGCTTATGTTTGGATTTTTGCAAATTTCGCAGCGCTTAGTGGTCAAACTAATCCTGTTATAGGTTTGTTTGCATTTCCGCCCCTTGTTCCGGCACATCCTACCTCAACCCCATAATCATCTTGTTAGCGGCTTTAGATTGCCAACGATAAGCGCCAGCACATCTTCTATTGTGACCCATCGCCAGCGCCATTTTGCTGGCTGTGCCTGAAGCTGTTGCTGAAGCCCAATGTAGCAATAAGATTCCAACACAACGGCAACTGTGGCTAAATTCACCACCGCTTGCCATTGGCCATTGGCCTGGCACGGCACGTGCTGCCTGTGGCTGAGGTAGGTAGGCAACTTGTTTACCTGTCCCTCGCCCGGCTGCCCTTACCTGAGATGGTTCATGGTGGGTTTTCCTTGCGCGTATAAATACCACTGCCAGGATGGACTCACAATCAGAAACTCGCAAGCAGCCACAGTGAACGGTTCAGCTTTATTATTGCGCCAAAACAGTTAAGAATATATTATTAACATGTCGTCCAGTGAGATATATCGCTACTATTACAAGACCACGGAGGATCTGCAGGGCTTCAAGCCCGGCGCAGTGGAGCCATACTTTAATCCCATGGCTGCCTATAATCCGGGCGTGACGCACTATCAGATCAATTGCAATTCGCTGGCTAGCTCCAGCAACTATTTGTCTGCCAATGGGTTCATCAGCTTCGAACAGGCCAGCTCTGATGGCTGGATCACCTCATCTCCGGCCAGCCATCGCTCCGAGAGTCCCGAGTATGTTGATCTGAACACTATCTACAATAATGGCTGCAACGGCATGCCACACGCGCAACAGTTCCCACTGACGTTGGAGCAGCCGGCGCCAGCTGTGGCAGCGCCTGCTCCACAGCCAGCTTTAGAGATTATGGGCTCACCTAATGTGGGTACATGCAAGACGGTGCCAGCAGTCGCGCCAGCCACAAAACCTAAACGGAGCTATACGCGCAAAAACCAGCAAGCGGCAGCTCCAGTTACTGACACTCTAAACGCCTCCAACTCAGCTCCGCCTGCGACACAGTGCAACAACTCCAATGTCCAGCTCTATACCGAGGACTTCCAGAGTTTTGACTTCGACAATTCCGCTCTGTTTGACGACAGCGTGGAAGATGACGATGATATGATGCTCGACTTTGACGATGATTTCGATGGTGAGGGCAACGATGGCTCCTTTGACCTGGGCGATGGCGACAGCGAGGATGCAGCGGGCAATCCCAACGTACCAACAGCCGGCACCGGAAAGAAGCGTCGCAACAAGCAAATCTCGCCAGTCGTCAAACGTAAACGTCGCCTGGCAGCAAATGCTCGTGAACGTCGCCGCATGCAAAATCTCAACCAAGCCTTCGATCGACTGCGTCAGTATCTGCCCTGTCTGGGCAACGATCGACAACTGTCCAAGCATGAGACCCTCCAAATGGCCCAGACCTACATCTCTGCCCTGGGCGATCTGTTGCGCTAAGCAGGATCGTAGCTAACACCCGTTTGCCAAATGTTGTACCTTTTCTGTATATATGTCAAGCTAGAGCCCAGTAGTAAATTATTGCCTAAGTATTATGCTGTTTATTGTTTAGTTAAATAGTTTCAATTACAAATTAAGAACCTGAATAAAAACAAACAACTTTAAAAAAAATAGTTTTGGCTTATTTTGTATTGTTTTCATTCTGAAAATATCAGTAATCGGACCATAGAGACATGGGATGGAATATGGAAGATCTAATTCTTTCTTAAGTAATCAATCTAAATGTACTTCTTTGTAAGTAGCATAGCATGCGATCGTACTATAAGATCTATACTTTTTTGCATTATCAAATCAAAAGTATAATTTCGAAGTTTTAGCTTCTTTCCTAGAAGAAATGTCTTAAAACGTAAATAGAACCCAAAAAAGATGTGAAATTGTGTGCATTAAACTCTGTCTTTAAACACAGAATTTTATTAAAATAAGAGCTGAATTTATATAAATTATGAATTTTAATAAAGAAATATGGTTAAATGCCGCCGAAATAAAAGTTTAGTTAGTTTTTATATGCTTGAATTTAATTTATTTAAAAAAACTTTTTTTCTAGAATCACATTCAAAAACTGTATAAACAATTGAAATTGATTCGATTTACGCCATGAACATGTTGGACATTTTATAATATTATTTAATCAAAAATAGTTTGTTGCAAATATTATAATTGGTAATTTGACGCACATTATATAATCCGGCTGCGGCTGCTAAGCTTACCTTTAAGTTTTGCCAGCCCAAATCTTATGGTCGAATCATCAGTCAGAGTCAATCTGAAGTTAAGTTAATGTGTACACCTTTTGCGCATTTCTTGGCGCTTCCTTTCCAGGCGCCTCATTTATCGCAGTGCATCGATTCTCACACAGAGCTTGGCGAGTTCAACTTTATTATGTGGAGCAAGGTGATCGATTTGGCGCTTCGCGATCAATTTGTAGACAGTTCACCGAAATTAGTCGCCGGCTACACATGCTGGCCAAAACAAATACTCGAAAAGTGATCCCCAGTTTGGGCAGAGGGCAGGAACAGTATTGTGCCGATAATTATACGGCAGAGCCCAGCGGAGTGTGGCTGCCAAATTAAGTTAAGTGTGGGGCTGATCTGCTTTCAGCAGTCGCAGTCGCTGTCGCAGTCGCAGTCGCATCGAGCACCACTCACAAATCGTTTAAAGCGAACTCCGATTGATGATCGTGGCTGGCGGATAACCGACAAAGGCTAAGACTAAGCTGGCTTAAGCCTGGAGTTAAGGGCGGCCAATTCATTGAGCAGAAAGCGGAGCAGTTCCTGGCCACGACGGTCGGGTCAGCGATTCAATCATTCAGAAGATCCAAAACCAATTTGTTGATAGCGCGGCGACTGACGATCGGCTGCCACTACACAAAATCACAATGGGAACTTAGGTGGGGCGCTGGGGCGCGGCAGGACATTGTTACGTGGGCCGTTTTTAATGTTGTTGTTGTTTGCATTTTGTGTTTGTTTTTAAAAATGATTTTCGGGCGTTGCCGCACAAGCTTTCGCAGCCTGAACTTGGCCCGGCCTGGACAATCAAGAGGAAATTCACATAATTAGTTAGCGGCGCGACTCGGGCAGCGCTGCGTTAAATTGTTAATGACTTAATTTAGAGCTCACCCTCGCATTTGGCTAGGCTACAGCTTGACAGTGGCAATTATACAGGTAGTCCCCAATATCCTGCCGCCGTCTGTGTGCCTGGGATCGCGCTCTTGTTAGCGACAATTTACGGCTTTGAACGCTTCCGCACAATGCGTCGCCGTCAATTTGTCAATTACACAAATTGTTTAGGTCTTCTCTCGCCACGATGCAAACAGCAGCAGCAACAACAAAAGCGACAACAACACCAACAACAAACAACAAAAGTTGCGTTTCGATTTCGGCTGCGTTGGGGCTTCTTCCTGCCTGGCTTGGATGGCTTTTGTGAAACGAAGCTGCGTTCCGATCGCTGCAGCTGCACAGATTCGATCCAGCTTCCATCTTTGACCAAAATGCAACTGCTCGCCAATACAATTAGTTAGAATTCATGAATGGCAATGGGAACCTACGTGCAACCGACCCCAGGCAGCTTTTGGCAATGCCGCCACAGCAGCAACAACAACTTAAGCAGAAGTCGGTGCCCCAGTCGGAGTCTTGCATGTCTTTGTCAATTTATAGACAGCTTGCCTGAGCATTATTAACACGTATTATTATTGCGTTCGAGCTGAAGTTCAGTTCCAGGTTGCAGCTTAAGGGTACGTCGCCCTGCTGCATATATTTTGTGGGTTTTTCGTTGTCGCTTCGCTTCGGCAACAGGTCGTAAAGGAATTAATGTTCCAAAAATTTGTCATGTCGATAATTGGCGCGCTTTATTTTGAGGTTTTTATACCCTGTACCCTTTGAAAATGGGCTAAAAGGGTATAATGGGCTTTTGCAAACGTATATACCGTATACATGTGCAAAGCGGGAGATAGTTCTATGTTTTTATGTAAGCATATATGTATGTGTCTATATATATTGATGTACTAATACAAATGTTGTTGGCAAAGAAAGTTCAGGGTATCTTCCAGTCGAGGACTGCCGGCTAGAGCACTCTTACCTGCATGTTTTGTTGGTTTCTGGCCATTATTGTGCTACAAAAGTCTGCTTAAGCGGTTGCTGATCGTTAGTAAGTATATCTGTATCTGCGTTAAACAAGTTAATGAGCTTTAACACCTTCAATTTGTCACTTCTTATTAGCGTCAATGATCATGTGAGGATCGATATGGTAAACCGCATAACAAGCCCATTGAATGCTGAGAGCTTATTGGGACTTAAGTTAGTTGCAAGTGTAACAATAAGACATATTTGGGTCTGTCGGATTTGTTGTTCTTCTTTTTCAAATAGCTTTTAACTCCTTCATTATTTGATTGTAAAACATAATATTCAGATTAACATAGCTTGATGTGCTTTTCGGGGCATCGACCGTATTTATTGCACTAGACCTAATAGTCTCTCTGACCAACACCTTTACACAGAGACATTGGTGAAAATTCTTCTCTATTTAGGGTACTATAATTTTCTCATGAAATATATCAAGAAGATCAGTATAAACAGTCAAATATGTCTCTCTGTCTGTTAGTTTCTATACAAACTTGGTTCTCCGTTTTAAAGCTATTCTCAATCAATTTTGACTATATCCATGTTTGTGTTGCATATCGGAACTGTTCGAATCGAATCACAATTTCTGAAGAGAAGAAAAATCTACTTAAGTCTGCTTTCATTTTTGCAAAATCGTCAGCCATCATTTCACAAGGGTATTTAATCGTCGGCATATCGAAGGTAGACTACCTTCTATTTTGTCAATTTCTTAAATGTATTATGCATGCCTTGTCGACGAGGCTCGTAACTAGATATTCTGTTAAACGTTGACAGATTAAGGTTTAAGCTCTTTCAGTCTATTTTGTTTACATAATTGCATTTATCAAATTTGATTAATTTGTTATGGACAGTGTACTAAAATTTTGTACTTATAATAACTTATGTACTTTGATAATTAATTATACCATATAACACCTAGATGTTTGAAAATCCTTAGCAATCCATAGTAATCCAGATATAATTACCTGCGTTCTATTTTGTGTTATTGCGGTTTCGGCAAGTATTCTCTATGTTATTTTCTACAATTCCAAATACCATTTTCTTACAACACACAATTTTCTCATACCTTTTTGGGCACATTTTCATTGATGTAATTCAAAGGACTTTTAGAAAACGAAACAGACCGCAACAGTTTTTTTTTATTGTTTTTTGTTGCTGTTTTTTTCTTGTTTATATAAATAGTTTTGAAGTGCTCGCAGTTTCCGTTTCCGGCGGTTTATTTTGGCATTGTTGTGTGAACATTTTACGCTGATCCTTTAATTATTGCGCAATAATTGCTTGCGCCAATGCAGACCCCCTAAGAAATGAAACCGCATTCATTCGACTGATTGATGTGAGTTCTGGACCCGGTTGCTGGCTGAAGCAGAAGAATGCAACGGCTTACAACGGAACCTTAGCCGGACCAACAGCCACTCGCGTGTGCAGCGTTCTGTGTGTGGGCCCATTTTGGTCTTAGCCAAAAGTCAAAGTCGAAGCCAAAATGATTGCAATTATTAAGCCATAAAACGGGCAACGTTAAATGCCAAGTCTGTAATTAGCGACACCAAATCACGCTGGCCACGCCCACGCCTGCATTGTGTGCGGCCCGAAACGGACCCAGAGAAATGTCGAGGACTGTTACCTGGTCGGACAAAGTCAAAGCCAAACTCATCTATAGATCGCTGTTTGTTTAAGGAAGTTTTGCCCAATTAGTCAAGCATTCGCTACGCTCCTCTACCAGCCATCCATTCATCAATCAGTAGCTCCGATTACTGCTGAGCGTTGCAGGAGCAACAGATTTAACCGTTACAGGTTGACAAATAATTCGCACGGCCGATCGCTCGACTGAGCAACTCAATTAGCCACACAGACGCACCGCTCCAGTTGACTAACTCCACTTGCTGGCCCCTAACAAACTGGCCAAGTAGGTGGCAAGCCTCAAAATTAAAGCCTTTGCATTTTTCATCCAAGATCCGAGTATCTCACGCTGCAGCCGACCGTTCAACGATCAGCCGATTGCCAGTGAAAGTGCATCAAAAATCAAAATCGACGTTGATTTTTTGATAATTTTTGGGCGAGGCATCAAATTAACACAGCAAAAACTCAAAGATGCTACCAATGATGCAGAGCCAGGGAGAAAAAACGTGCTAACTGTAAAGAACATGTTCAATACACTTGGAAGCGTGGATGCCCTTTCAGGAATATTTCATATTAGCCCGAATCTTATTTGCAAAACAATCTATGCAAAATAATTGAATACAAAGATGATAAGGAAAACTATGAAATTCATTTTAGTCGTAGATGTTTAATTGTGGACTTGTATATATATTAAGGTCATATTTATTTATT